TAGCAGTCAGCTGACTGTTCAGCTGGTCGCTCCCTACACATCCAATCGGCAAATGCCAAGCTCCTCCAGCTCCTCCTGTTTGTGTTGTGTCTGATCTTACCAGAAGAAAAATGTAGAAAAATGAGAAAAATGTATATTCTGTGTAATTAATTTCTAAAGTTTGTCCACAGCTCTGTAGAGATCGCTGGAGGAGGCAGGATTTATGACCTTTAACCTCCTAAGACCCGAACTCTTGCAAGGCATGCATTTTTATTTTCTCTTTGATATTTAGGCTAATTGGGACCTGATGAGTGTAAAAAAAAAGAATGATCCTTCTTGTGAAGGCCCTTCTGAACAAAATTTAATATTGTGGTCTTGACAACCAAAAATGTGATGTCCACACATGTGGACGCCAGGTCTTAGGAGGATACTGCAGCCCGTCACCAGAGCGTGCTGTTCTCGGATGGCTTCACCCAGTTAGGAGGCAGACAGTGTCCATTCTATATACAGTCTATGGTCTTACCTGAAAAGTACTGGACTGTTGTTCTGTATAGTCAAAAGTCCTCTTTTAAGATACAAGCAAATTTTGCATTTCATCTGGAAACCAAGATGCTAGAGTCTGGAAGACTGTTGAAAGCCATGGGTTTAAGGTGTTTGAGGTCTTTCATGAATTTTCTACAGTCTGTGTTGATTCCAGGGGTCATGTCATCTGCTGCTGTTGGCCCACTGTGTTTTATCAAGTCCACAGTCAACACTGTCGTCCAATCAAGAGATTTGAGAGCACTTCAAACTTCAAACTGCTGTCAAGTTATGTGGAGTTGTCGGTTACCTTCTCTGGCAGGACTTACCACCAAAACTACAACCAAATGCATTGTTGACCATGATAATACTGTGTTTGATTGACTCGCCAGTACGCCTTACCTGGATCCCTTTAAGCAATAATCTGAAATTTGTCAAGAGGAAGAGGAGCAACATCCAACCCAAAATTTACAGATGGGCTGTAGGCCAATATTAAAACAATCAAACTACCAAGGCAGCAATTTTGACTGTTTTCAAAATTTACGTCATAACTTTTTAGAAATAAAACCTATATACTCGTCTCACCCTGACTTTTCCTAAATGTGTGTATATTTCATTCTAATATTGTTTTATATATTATTACCTCGAACTTCCAGAACAGTCAAATTGACTGCATGCTTTTTACAAAGGTTGTTATATTTCACTATTGGCTACACTTTCTTCTGCTCTATTGTTTGTTTTGTATTTTACTCAAAACTCAAGAGACTCAAAAATGACAACTAGAAGAAAAATGACTAGTATGGAGGCTTTAGCCTTGCTTCAGAGTCTTGATGAGGAAGAATCCGATGTATGTGCGAGTCCAGGGAATGATGTGTCTTGGTATTTTGAGGAAGGTTCTTAAAAATCTCATTCATTATAATTTTCATTTTGTGTACTAATGTGTTTTTATCTATTCCATCAATTTATTATTGGTTTTTATTGTTGATTATCCAAATTATGTGCAAATCAAGACTGAGCAGTCAAAATGACTGCTTATGTTCATTCTAGTAGTTGCAGAATATTGATAGACGGAGCAACCAGAGCTTCGTAACACCTCAGCAGATTCACAGGCTGATCGCCTCCATGCCACAGAGATTCAGAAATCAAACAAAGGCTTGTAATTTTTCACTTTAAAAATTAATAAAAAATAATTTTTCACTTTACATGTCATGAAGGCTATATGAAAATGTACCTTATTGACTGAAGTTATGACAAGCACTAAACTTTGTCACAGTATTCCAACTCACTGAGCTGCACTTGTACATGACACTCCCGAATAAACAAGAATCCTTGTTTGCTACTTTCAATATTTGTCTTTGTGTAGTTTCCACTTTCAATCTCACAGAATTCCCCTTTCATTCTTATGTCTGCTTGACCTTCCACTTTTTAACAGCAGGGGGCGCTGAGAGAAAACAGCTTTGAAAACCCTCAGACAGAAACCAATGCATTCAGCAGATTTTTGTTTTGAAGTGACACACACTGTACACCACTGTTCGATTGCCAAGAGTGGCAGTCATACACTGAAAAAGCTGAACCACGAGTCATACAAGAACTTTAAGACTGTGTTAAGCCTTTGATTTTAGTGTGTTAGTTGGAACTCGACATGTACTTGTTTTTGGTATGATTAACTTCCTGATGTAGAATTGCTTGCTAGACATGATTCAACTTGGTGTACGATAAAAACAATTCAGATTGGGAAACTTATTCAAGACAGTCTCTGCAGCCCTGGAGGGATATGACTGATGTGTTGGCCTGAAAAAGGGTATGTGTCTTATGATGTATTAATAGTAAAACACTGATACTAAAAACAAGATCAAACTCTTATGACAAACAATCCAAACTGGCTGCCTCCTGGTAAAATGTGATTCACAGGTAAAGGTGTGGCTGTTCACGTGAACAGGAGGTACTGACTGGAACTACACTGTCATAATACCCTTTTTTTTTAAGACAGTGCCTCAAGTCTACACAAGCAACACAAGCAAGGATAACTAAGTGCCTTTTTATCTGCTAGTGAGCATACTAGAGATAGAGAGACAGGGAGATAAGAGAGAAGATGAAAATGAGGAAGGGGAATCCAGAGAATTTCAAGAAGTCCCGTTAAAAATCCCCTTTTAAAATCATCAAACGTGAACCTTATTGTACCAGCCTTATCCCTCCAATAAGTCACAATCATGCGTGTGTTTTGCAGGCAATTTAAAGCACTTTTTATTTGACTTGTGTATCTGTCACAGGCCAATTTGGCATCACTCCAGGAGATAAGAAATTTTATGCTCTGGGGTAAAACCCAACACTTTTCCCTGCCATAATTTCTCCAAGATGAAATGGCTTTACAAATTACCCGCTACTGCTGATATTGCAATGAGTATGAATGTGAAACAGGATATGAACTTTCCGTACGGCTTTTCAGTTGCTACGCCAAATATCACTGAGATGGCGCCTGTAAACTCTGCAGGGGAGACGTCTGCGAGTACAGAAACAGCCTTTCCAGTGAGCAGGAAAAGGGAAGTGCTCCATTAAAGTGTGTGTCGCTTCCTTTTTCCTCACATATGTGAACTGGGTTTAGATACATGGCATAAATACCAAGAGACTGGTGCATTCATGTTGTGGTGCATCAGTTCTTTGTTAACGCAGTTTGTGGTCAGAGGATGGTGTTACCCACACACCAACAGTCTCCACTTAGACTCCGGTTAAGACAAGTGTTAATAGCTGACTTACGCATGCACACATAAAGAGCAGAGTTCCTGAACTTTAGCACACTGGATGGGGGGGGGGGGGGGGGAATATCACAGTTGTGCATTTCTGTTGGGACAGCAGTAATCGCTGAAAGAGGATGTGAGCCTCTGATGAAGAAGATGGGTTTTCTCCTTGAGATATGACTACAATGCATGTATCCCCACCACACTTTCACCCACAGGTTATTAATATTTAGTCTCTTTTTAACACATGACAATACCACACACCTGCACAATCTCAAACCTAAAAGTTCCCCAACAACCCTGATACACACACATGATACACACGCAATACACAGAGCCTTTACTTGCGTATTAATAGGTCTGAATTCAAAGGAACTGTGTGGTTTATGGGAGGCTATTTCAGCGCACACTACTTTGGTGAATACGTGATGTCAGAGCAGGTGCACCTCTGCTGAATATCTCTAAACTGACCCACCAGTTGTTATCTGGACTAAAAATGTTTGAAGTATTATCATTTTTTTTAAATCAATAACATCTGCTGTATGTCAACACGGCTCTTACACAGGGCTTTCTGGTCCTCCCACCACTCATGGCCCCTGACGCAACATGACAATATTCACCCTTTCACACACTTATTGCCACACAGGACAACTTATTGGTCACATTCCTTCATGAGCCATAGGTGAGTCCATTGCATGCAGTTTGGGGGCTTTTGTAGTCCTTTTCACATCAAGATTATATTTTGGTGTAAAAACAAAGCCCTGCAGTAACTCCTACTGTGTACTTTTACACTGAAACTAGCACATGTGTGAGATTGGTGCCCTGGCGTGTGATGTCACACCCAATACTGTCTCCAATTTTAGCTCAGCAGCAGGCCAGCCTTGCCCCACTGATACATTTGTTGTACATTGCAGACGAGGCGAAACAGACCATCTTGAAAATTCAATTTATGAGGAGCTTGAAGAGATGTAGAGGAACTTTGGCCAAACAGTCATCATCCAGTGACCCACCCTACTCCTGTGCCACCCCAAATACACTCTTAAAAACATTTGGTTAATAAGAACCCAATTTGGGTAGTTTCCCAACCCAGCGCTTAAATTAATGCATCAGATTTCATATAGAGCTTTGTCAGACACCTTCAAAGCTCTTTACATTGGAGACATCTTTTATTGGCGCAAACAGTCAGACCTTGGTGGTGGTAAACTACCTTAGTAGTCACAGCTGCCCTGGGGCCAGTTTATGCCAATAGTCCCTCCGACCACCACCACATAACACTCACAATCGTACACTAGTGGAGGACACAAGGTGGGTTAAGTGTCTTGCCCAAAGACACAATGGACAGACTTGGGAAAGGGGGGAATTGAACCGCCAGCCTACCAGTTATTGGACGACTGCTCTTCTTCCTGAGCTACTTCTGCCTCTTAACAGCCCCCATTTCATGTTACAGACAGAGAATGAACTTTGGAGTTGGTTAATATTTGACAGTTTTTTTTTTTGTTTGTTTTTTTTTAGATATGATTTTCTTATCTTTTCAAAGTAAACAATACAGAACAGGAGGTTGTATCTTGCATACTATCCACTCCACATCACACAGTCATCCATTGATTGTTCGTATCAACCTGAAACATCAAGACAGAGAGTCCCTTAAAGCAGTAGTTCAACATTTTTGACCACACCACACCGCTCTTTAGCTAACGTGTTAGCCTGCTACGTTTGAGGCAATGTTCTTTATGCTACTAACGTTGGCTAACCATCAGCTTGCTCAGCTACCAATCGATTCCTGAGGGCAGACGCTTGTACACAACATTGCTTCACAAACTTACATCTTAACAACAACATGAGGGTCCATATAATAATACCAAGTCATCTATATGGTAAAGCAATAGCGGGAATGTAACAAACCTTGCGTTGTACGTCTCCTCGCTTCAGCAGTTGTGGGATCATTTTGGTGAGTGGGTGGTGCTTGGTTTCAAATGCCAGAACGTCTACCCAATGTGTTGGGTAGTCCACAATAAACCAACAAAACTGTATAGAAATTACAACCCAACAGCTAATAACTCTGTTCCCAACATAAATGACCTTGTGAATTGGGTACTCAGAATACCCATTCGATGAAAATAACCCAAATAAATTGACCAACAGGCTCAACCTAGAGGTTGGGTTGAAAAAACGACCCAGCATTTTTTTTGTGTGTATCATATATGAAATCAGGTGTTCATAAAATGGCTGGAATAATATTGCATTGCTGCTGCCAGTCTTTTGAATCCACCTTTATCTGTGAGCCTGAATTCCGCTTGAGGTCTTCTAGCGGGGCCCTACCCACGGTTCTTGAATCTAGACTAATCACAAGAGTCGAGTGAGCGTGTGAAGGTGATACCCCACAGCTGTGGAAGTCCCTGACAAAATTCAACAGGCAAATGAGTTCAGTGTCCAATTTCTTATCTCCTTCAAAGACTCATCTCTATATTGTGACTCTTTCTTGACTATTGACCATTGGATATAATTTCGTCATCATCTGATGCAACAAACAAAAATCACCATAAACTTGAACTTGACTCGGAAATAGATGACGAAATACTGAGGGCATGGTGATGCAAGGTAATGCCTTCTTTCACTTTCACTCCGTCGGTGAACAGAGAAAATTCCACTCTGCTAAACGCTATTGTAAAAAAAACAAAAAAAACATTTCCTCCCCTGCTGACGGCAGCACAGGGTGTCTTGCATTTATGCACCGGGAGCAGCTCATCCCCTCCGTCACACTCGGAGTGAGGCGGAAGAGTTTCAAATGTGCTTAAATCAAACTCACCCACACTTGCTGCACCCTGGCTGCACCCTCCTACTTAAATGGGGCGGAGACATGGTGATGTCACGGGTGTTGGACGTAAAAGTGCTTCCAGAGCCCACAGCTGGGTGTAGATCAGAGTTGCACCTCTGCTGAAATCATGCAATGGTAAGTTGATACACACATGCTCGTCTTATTTTCTCGTCTTTCTTTGTGTAGGAGATTTTTACCGAGTCGTTGAGTGGAGAGCAGACAGATTGCTTTTGCACGTATGCATATTTCTGCATGTTGTTTGGTTAGACAGTGTAGAGGAGGCTTTCTTTTTAAGTGATAAAGAAGAGGAAACTCTGTGCCGGGTCATCTGATAGCCTAGAAACCTTTGCCACAGCAGCAGATCGCCTGTATTTATGCGTCCTCCCCACGTCCTCTTTCTCTCTCTCTCCTGGGTTGTGAAGTGAAACAATAACACTGATCTGTCATGTCACCTCACAGCTCTCCCAAGCCTCAGTTTGCCAGCTGGCTCATCGAGCAGGTGGAGACTGGCCAGTACGCCGGTCTGTGTTATGTCGGGCCCAACAAGTTCAGAGTCCCGTGGAAACACAACTCGAGAAAGGACTGCAACGACGAGGACGGGAAAATATTCCGGGTAGGTCTAATGTCTAGTATCGGAGTAGTGAAAACTGACAAGCATGTGTCAGTCACAACAACAACAAGTGCTTTATTGAGTCATCACTGACTCATCAGCTGAGATTTCTGGCTTTTATTATTGTCAGAGTATTGATGTAGGATGTGGGTGCAGGTGATACCAATACTAGTGGTGACACTCCCACTTTAATCTCTGCAATCTATAAAAAGAAAGAGACAATTAGTATAATGAGGAGATTATAAAAGACTTTATAAATTTGTGAAGCTTTCACCTGAACTTAGAAATTGCATACATAGGAACAGGGCTGAATATAGAAGCCCACTATCACCAGACTGAATAAACAGAGACTAAGCCTTGCTGTGAGAAATCCTAATGTGAAGTATTTTATGAGATAAAAAGTTCATAAATAAAGCAAGAAAAAAAAAGGCAAGATAAAGTGCTATAATTATTTGATAAAGAAAAAAAAAACCTAATAGCTGGATAATGAAATAGTAACATCTCATATTGATAACTTCTTATTGGATAATTTGATATTTTTTGGTCCCATACCTGACTTCCTTTGTCCTAATTACTCTTTTCATAGTTTCACCTTTTCACTCATTATTCTGTTGTACTGTCATAATTTCATAATATGATAGTTTATCACATTGTTATAATTATTCTTTGCACCTTGGAATTACAGTTACGGTCTCATAGATTTGACGATCTATCTAATAATTGTGCCTTCTTATTCTCATAGATTTCCTTTTTTTTCCTACAAATATAACGTGTCAATTAGTTTTTCAAACAAATGACAAGGTTTTTAAACAACAAGCCCAAGTTTGGTTGTTTTGTTGCTTCTAGAAATGGGTTTTTAGATAAATGTTTTGGTGTAAAAAGTATAGCATTTTTATCTGAAATATGATGAAGTTTACACCTAGATTTTCATAAATATGGGAAACTACATCCAGATTTGTACGCTGAGAGTAATCACAGATAATGTTATCTGCATGGTTAACAGGCCTGGGCAGTCACAAGTGGAAAAATCAACGAGTTCCCAAATGACAAGGCCCGATGGAAAACCAACTTCCGCTGCGCTCTGAACAACCTCTCTGTGCGCTTCAAGATGATAAAGGATAACTCCAAGAATTCAGACGACCCACATAAAATCTATGAGATTATCAACACTGAGTGTAAGAACATAGTTATCTAAGCCATGAATACTGGATCTCTTTTCATTTTAAATGAATTTAATGATGGGTTGTTTCTCTTTCGGTAGATAACTATGCAAGCTTGCTGGCACAAGACTCCCAAGGGGATATGTCCTTGGATATCCTAAACTCCCCCATAGAGGTCTTTCCCTGGGGAAATGAGGTACAGACAGGTTTTACTCTGTGGAGTTTTCTGTCCTACAAAATTCATCAAGTGTCTAACTTTTGTTTCCTTTTCTTAAAAACAGCTCAATCTGGTTAACAGTCTGGGGGCCTTGGATCTTGGGAACTGTCCATCAGGTACAGAGTCTCACACAAAAGGGAACTTCTGAATTCGTCCAATAAATTAATGATGTCCTGTGATAGGTTTTAATCCAGCTCTAATGTAGTTTCATCAACTTTATTGATGTCTTTCACAGAGGAGCAGCCCTGGGCAGAGAACTATGGGCAGCCTAATCCAGCTGTGGTGGAAAGTTATCCTGTGGCAGCTGAGAACATCCAACAGCCTCTACCAGATCAGCCGTCTTACTACGAGTGTATGTTTAGTCAAATATGATTGAAAGTTATGCACTGCAACCAAACTCCACATTGGAAACAAAGACCTCTTATCTTTTTTTTTTTGTCTTCCCTACAGTAAATCTTCCAGCACCCCTCAGCCCACCTGCGCAGCCGACTATTTATGACCTAGAGATCTCCATCCATTACAGGAAAAAAGAAATACTCAAGACTACATTCAACACTGCCCGTCTCCAGCTCCACTACCACCACATGGCCCCTGAGCTCAATGCCCAACAACTTTGCTTCCCCTCCACAGAGGGTCTGCTGGACCAAAAACAGGTGCACATACATGAGTAATAAGTTCAGTCAGACTTATTTTGAAATAGTATTAACAATCAAGAAACTGTTAAAAAAAATAAGACCAGCTAATAGTTCATGTTACCTCTCCAAACCTTTTTACACGTATGTGGTGTCCAGCTCAAACCCAACCTTTCCATGTTTTTATGATGAATACAAGTTAACCTTGATCACACCATCAAATCATGCAGAGTTGAGGCTGTGGTTTCTAGCAGTCTACCTACCACAGTCAGGAAACTGTACCTAACATGCTGAGAACAATCACGTTACAAATGTGCACATGATACTTTAAGACATCACACACTCTAGCTTTTAAAAGATTGCAGAAAAAAAATGAGCTTGCTCCTTCACAAAGAGCTTTGATCAGATTAAATTCTTATGTTTAGTTTTCTGTTATTGCAACACCTCAAAGTGTTTTTTTTTTAGTCAGAAATCCACCACAGGAGGGGGAGATGTATGAATTTCTACTTTTAGCCTCAGGAAACCCCTTTTATCCATCCCTCTTTATACTGACTGTCTGTGGCTATTCCGACCTTTTCCTGTAATCCCATCGGCTCTCTGGGGATTGTAAAAAGTCTGGCAGAGGGTGGTTACTGAGGGAAGTGGTGGAAATGAGGAGCTGTTGCACCAAAAAAAAAAAAAACACAGTTAGTTACACCCCAAAGGAACAGCTAAATAACACTGAAAACCATAAGTTAAGAGAAGCATCTACATTAGGTCTTAAATGTGACCACACTTTTTTAAATCACTGTCTTCTTTGTGCCAGATTGAATACACCAACCGCATCCTCAACAGCATCCAGAAAGGTCTCCTCCTGGAAGTTCGGGAAACTGGTATTTATGGCTACAGGCAGGACAAGTGTCATGTGTATGCCAGCACTAGTGACCCCAGCGTGGCTCACCCAGACCCCAGAAAGCTGCCCCAGAACACCATGGTGGAGCTCCTCAGCTTTGACAAATTCATCCATGGTGAGTGTCTAATAGAGTAGATATACAATTACTACAACAATCCCTATTATTAGCTTGAATTCAGAGTGAGCATGAAGTGTGAAATAAGTGGTTCTGTTTCAGAACTGAGGCACTTTAAAGAGAACAACGGCAGCTCTCCTGAATACACAATCAACATGTGCTTCGGAGAGAAGTTCCCTGATGGAAAACCTTTGGAGAAGAAGCTCATTGTAGTCAAGGTAATGCTGTTTCCTCTTTCCTTTTGCATTTATTTCCTCCAGAAGGGCAGTGATATAAGAGTCCTTTTATTACTGAACATTAACTGCACCAAGAACTTGAATCATTTTTACCTCCACCAAGGAGGTTATGTTTTCGGTAGCGTTGGTTTGTTTGTTTGTTTGTTAGCAACTTTACGGAGAAAGTAACAGACGTGTTGACCTGAAATTTTCAGCAGAGGTGCGTCTCAGCCATTAAATTTTGGTGGTGATCTGGACAAAATTCCGGATACTGTGATCCAGAACACATAAAAATAAGGGTGTCGTTGGAATTTTCAGTGCTGAAAGATAACCAATGGGCAGCACAGTGGTGTAGATAGGCAGCACAGTGGTGTAGTAGAAGGTCCTGGGTTCGAATCCTGGTCAGGGCATTTCTTGTTTTAGGAACATTATGAACAGTGAACATACCAGCTTAAACACAAATAAACATGAAAAGTTTTGGTGTGAATCACAATATAAGGGGGGACATGAGCTGCTTGGCGGAGGTCTGCGCTCTCCGAGTGCTTTTCTAGTTGCACATGGATCCTGATTGTAAAGGTTCAATATTATCTCTCCGTCTCCCTCTGCTCCTGTAGGTGGTTCCTCTGATCTGTCGGTACTTCCATGAGGTGGCTCAGATGGATGGCGCTTCGTCCCTTCACAGCGCCAATGTCAGCCTGCAGATCTCACACAACAGCCTTTTCGATCTCATTTACAACGTCTTTGGAGTGCCTTCAGCTGAATATCCAACACAGGCGAACCCACCCTTTCTACCTACAATCTGAAATTTCATCCCCCATTTGCTTCTGAAAAAAGGACTATTCACTCAACAGCCTTTAGGACCACATAAAGCCTCACAGTCTGCTCTATCTTCCCAAACTATGCTAACATGTATTTTATTGAAAGTGTCTTATGTGTATAAAACAAACTTTTCCATGTTATCATCAACCCATCCTCTTGCAATGCTCCTGTTCACTTTAAGCTCTCATTACTCATGATTGTAAGCACAAAACTGACTACTTCACTACATAGGCAGAAATAAGACTTCTCAGCTGTTTGACTGTTACAATGCTTCATGGTTAATGCCCAAAAATCAACTTTAAATGATCACTGTATGTCAAACCATATCAATGTGTTTTTAGCTACTAGTGTATTTATGAGAGACAATCAAAAATTTTATGTGTCATACTCCCAGTTTCTGGGGTGAACTTTTTTGCACTTCTCTATGTTTACAAACTTTCCAATCTGCAGGTTGTCTTGCACTTTTCATTCCCCAAAAGAAGGGTTTGCTTTGAAATAAAGTCTCAAACACTGGATGTTGTCTCAGCTCTTTATACCTGTGGTACTTTGTATGACTTGTAAATGGTGGAAATCTTTTGTGTCCATGAAAAAGAAGACAAGAAGCTTGTTTCCATCGCTGGTGTCTCACTCCATAGATTCAGATTTCTCTAGTTATTTTAGCTACAAATGAGATATGACAACATGACAGTATATGAGCAAGAAGTAATTTATTATCATTCATGTTCCCTCTTGGACACACCTGGACTGTTTCATCAAATAAAACACAAAGAGAAAAAAAAAAATACATTCAGGGTAACATGAAGCACCTGGTTCTTCTTAGACTCTCCCCAATCTCTATGTGGAGCCAACTTCATCAGAACAGAAGTGAAAGGCAAGGCTCAACCACTCACCTTCCTGCCCACAGCAGGCAGACTGACAAGTACAGACAGCTAAATGAGGAACTGGAATTCGTCTAAATCCGGATGGTCTTTGATGAGTCAATGCACAGTCATAATATCACTAACGGCAGATTTCAGAACCATTAATCTATGCCAGCTAAACAAGCTCAGTACTCTAATGATATGAAATAATGAAAGGGAAGTATGCTTTTATTGAAATGTTTGTCGATGTTGGAGCACCAGTTTTAACAGTACCAAAATCCGGACATTTTCGTGAACAAAACAGGATTATGAAATAAGCATTTCAGACACAAAGTTCGTAAAAAATAAAATCTACACGACCTGCTCAGCTATGCATTTAAGTCTCCTTTGCTAAAAGGATACCTGAAAAGTACTGACAAATTTGGGGAAATTACGTGTTTTTTCTATTTAAATAGCATTATCATTTCTTTCTTTTTGGCACAAAACAAATTGTTTCCTCAGTCTCGAAAACCAGTTTTGGGTTATGAGTGGGGGGAAAAAAAATGTTTCAGCAAAGACTTAAAGAGTCTCTGAACAAACAAGGCAGTTTGAGAAAAGTAATCTGACAATTTCAAACTGCTGAGCCTCAATTCACCAGTAGTGTTGGACTACATTAGGCTCAAAAGACACAAACATTAGAGATGTGGAAAACTGGTAACACAGGCTTGTAGATACAAATCTATTCTAAGAGAACCAAAACAAAATATATCAGAAATTCGAAACAGGCAACACAGACAAAAGGAACAAATGTGGGTGTATCAAATCTACTATTTACAACAAATGCTAAAATTGTTTCATTATTCTACTGATAGTGTTCTACAAAATTGCATAACAGTGTCTGTCCTTAATGAGTTTTTAAATATGCACCGTCTGCATACTTTAACATCACTTCTCGACCAACAGTGCGAGTTCTGCCACTGATAAATACCCGCTTTTCCCCGCTCCAAAGCCCTAGAAAACCTCCTGTGGAGAAAGCTACCTGGTGTGCCGCTCTATGGAAGGGTCGCTGAGATTCGCTTCTTTGAGACAAAACTTCGAGGTCTCCTTTTGGGTTTCTGAGGAGTGCCCAAGAAAAATCACCAGCTCTCAGCAGGGACAGTCCCAGCACAAGACACCAACAGGTGTTCAAAGGTTCGTCAAAAAGGGGTTTTTCCTCAAACAGAAAGCTTGACATTGGACAAAGTGTTCCATCTTGAAGCTGTGAGCAAATCTTAGTTACTTGTTCAGACTGGGTTCAACGGTAAAAAAAAAAAAGAAAAACAAAAGAAAAAAAAAAGATAAAATACTTGAATCTGTGTTTGCAATGCAGGCAGCTGTCCTTGTCTGTGGTTTTAATGTCCCTTCAGGGGCTGTCTGAGGTTTTCATCGTCTTCCCCTGTGTTTCCTTTGTCTCCCCCAAATCCTCTCCTTTCTTGTGTTTCCGTGCATGTTTGTATTTATCCACGTATGCCTTGACCAGATTCCCCACCTTGACTGGGTTGATCTCCCCGCTCTTGCTATGGCACACCTAATGAGCAGAAACACAAAACAATCAAATACAATTCAAGAGATACAGTCAGATAAAGAAGCACTAAAAAAGTGGTTGGCAACAAACTTCTATTATCTTGGCTCACCTTCTGGACGGCTTTGCGCAGAATCTCTTTGTATTCATCCTTGTTTATATCCCTCTTCTGGTAGAAAGGCTTAATAGCTAGTTTAACCTCCTCTACAGCTCTCTCCTGCATGTGCAGTTTCTTCAGGTATTGCTGCAGGTGTAAAAATATCACAAAGGATCATTATACAATCTGCAAATATTCTCAAACAAGGGACAGTTTGAGCGTACACTGAAATACAAAAGACAGACACAAGATCTATTCAGGATACTCAAAGCAACATTCACCTTGTCTTTGCTTGACATGTCCCCTTTCTCTGCCTCTGCTTGTCCGGTGCTTGGTAACCCCTCAGGATGTATACCGTCAGATCTAGAGGAGCTACTGGGTGGACCGCCTGCCACCTTTTTAGAGGGGTCACTCACAGTTCCAGTGATGTCCTGTGAAAATCAGAGCACATTAGGTGCATGGGAAGAAATATCAATGACCTCATGTTTGGGACACAAAAAATCAGACAGACTCAAGTAATCAAGAGTTTATTTATATCTTATATAGTATTATACAATAGATATCTGGGTAGATGATCAAAATTATTTGATTTTTGTCTGAAAAGGTCACTTGTTTTTGTTGAGGAAAATCTGATATTTGAAATTAAAAGTAAGAAATAACAGGGGATCAAAGTTTTACTGTTTCAGTTAATTGCTTTTTGATCACATCCTCTGAACTGTATCATAAATTTGTCCCACGGTGTGACTGTAAAGACTTAAACTAATCACAACAGTCAAATAAACAAGTGATTTTCTTAATTCTTCAATCCTGTTCTGCTCATAAACTTATTTGATGGTTCTTGTTGTTTTCTCATTAATTGAATCTATTTTTATCTTCTGTGACGGCAGTGAAAAAGTCATCTTGCATAATCCGCCCATCTATAGAAGATCAAAGCTCTTTGTATCAATGAGCACATCTAATGTGTGGCTTAAAGTTTCCATTTCCTGAGAAAAGCTTCTACTTTCATTTTGTCTGAAACGCTGCAGGCATCAGTTTTAGTTTCAATCACGTGATTCTACCCAAGGCACCTTTTTTGACAGAACACCGCCATCATCTGGCCGTTTTGTCACATGACAGCCTCAACGCATTTCTGGAAGAATTTTTCTAAAAAGGCTCAGTTTCCTACCTGACTGATTACCTGGGGTGCCGAGGAGGGTCTGCGAAGTCCTTCCTGCTTCAGTCTTAATTTATAAAGGGCTAGTTCTGTGTGAGAAAGGATTCAGGTCAAGTATTTCAGATGCAGATATAAAAGCCAACAGTAACTGCTGCAGAGGAACTGAACAGCAACACTCACTGCTTGCAGATTTCTCTGGCTGGGGCCCCTCAGGCTCCTGTATATTCCAGGTAACCCTCTTCACATGAGTCTTTGATTTCACCCCCGCGATCGTAGATCCCCGCTCAGTTTCACTCTTCCCCTCCTCTGCATCCTTCTCTTTATTCACAGAAGAACCGCTTTCCTTTTTAGGTTCAGCCTTTACATAGTCCAGGTTGTCGAGCATCACATCCACGTTAAAGTCGTCATCTGAGTCTGAGGGTTGCTGAACTTCTTGCTTCACAGAAACCGTGTTCGTTTGCTCGGTAGAGGTCACTGGCTGAGATTGGAGGACTTTATTCTGAAGGCTGTCGTCTGTCACAGGTGTGGGTAATGAAGGGAACGAGGTGACCGTGGGGAAGTGGCTTGACTCTGGGGAGCTTGGTTCAGATTTAATTACTGCGATTTCATGTGTTTCAGTCTTAACAGGGTCTTCTTGGTTCCCCTCCTCTTGTCCACCTTTGTCTTCTCCCAGAGCACAGGATTCAGATGCTTCTTCTTTAATTGGTTTCAAAATGGGAGAGTCTTCAAACATATCTAGAGATGGTTGTTTTTCTTTCTTTATTTCTTTTCCAGTCTTTGTCTCTTTAACCGTTTCTTCCGGTTTAGCGTGGCCGTCAGTCCCCTGGTCTTCCATTTTCACTTTTGGGGCAGCAATGCTGACAGGCACCTCCTCTTTCTTCACTGCAACTACTCTCTCCTCTTTGATGGAGCTTTGGGGGGCATCCCTCTCCTTTTTCTTGTCTTGTGGTTTTGTGTCATGAGAAGACGAAACACTGGAGCCTGAAGGTTTTTGCGAAGTCTTGGATGATGAGCCTTTGTCTTTTTTTCTTTCCCTAGAGCTGGATCTAGACCTATGTCTCCTCTTTGACTGTGACTCTGCCTTGTCTCTAGATGGCAGAGAGGACCGTTGTGGGCGTGAATCGGTTTTTCTCCTTTCCCTGGACCTGGACCTAGATCTGGACTGTGACTTTGATTTTGAGCGCCTCCGTTTGCGTTCCTTGGATCTGGATCTGGAAGGCGACTTGGACATGGATTTTGAGTGAGATCTACCGTGTCTCTTGTCCTTTGACACTTGTCTTTTCTCTTGGTCTCTCTCTCTGCCATCGTTCCTCTCCTTGCTTCTTTGTTTGTTCTTTTTCCTTCTTGAGCGCTCTCTGCTGCTGGAGCTGGAGCCCGACCTAAAACCAAAATGACAGAAGAAACTTTAACCAGTGCAAGTTTCAACCATTCTTTACAAGATGACATGACACGAAAATCTGATTGCGTATTTTTTACTTACCTGGATCGCCACCTGTCTTTTGATCGTGACCGAGACTGTTGTCGTTTCCGGTGAGACCTGTCAGGGGAGTTGGACTGGGAGCTCTCTGAGGTTGTACGTGCCCTCCTCTTTTCTCTGGACCTGGATCTCCTGGAACTTCTTTCTTGCTTCTTTTCCTTTTCCCTCTGCCGGCCCGCCTGGTCTCCTTTCTTGCCTTTATCCGTCTCAGAACTGCTAGATCGCCGCTCCTTTGATGCTCTGGAGGTTTTCTTCCTCGAGCCGGAGTCTCTTGAAGGGGACTTGGGATCTGGTTTTGTTTCTGTCTTTTGTTTCTTCTTCGGGGGAGCAGAGCTGGGTGTAGATGAACTGTTTGAGAGAGTGCTTGTTGATGTGCCAACGCTCTCTTCTAGAGTCTCTGTCTCCATCTTAATATGAACTCGACTTTGGCAGACAGGTGGTGGGGTCTCCATTGGCTCTGGTTTGACACGAACATCACTGCTCCCACACCTTTGTTCCTCCTCTGGATCATCTAACTCTCTCTCTTTTTTAATTTCAATGTCGAGTTTTTCTCTTGGCGTCTCTGTCTCTGATCTCGCAGTTTCTTCAATCTTGACAAATACCTCTGAACATCTGACCTGCTGGGATATGTTTTCAGAGGCACTAGATCCCCTTGGTTCTTCATGTGAGACGTCAATGTCCTGTTTTTCAGTTTTCACATGAACCTGATTCGGCTTGATTTGCACCATATCCTCCATTTTTCCCAAACTGGGAGCTTTCGCCTCATGTGTGGTTTTTTGGGGGCTCTCGTCTTCGCTGTCCGAGTCTGACAAAGTGGGATTAAAGGGATCATAGATGTTATTGGTGTCTTGTTCTTTTTTGACCTGGACGTGTGATGCCAGGAGCATCTGTTTATCCCTGTGAAGCTGTCTCTTTCTGACTTCGTCTTCCTTCTTGCTCCAGCGTTCCTGCATGCCGTCTCCACCAGCGGAAGATGACGCCATGCCGAGATGCCTTGAATGCCAGGAGTTCCCGCTGGAGTTAATGCGGAAGCTGACGGATGACGAAGCAGAAGAAGAAGATGAGGAGAAATGAGACTGGCTGGAAGGGAAACCAGTGGAGGATGAAGAAGAGGAGAAGGAGTTTGAGAAAGCAGATGATGAACCTGCTCCATCCGGCCTCTGTCTCTGAGATGGACCTCCAGCTCGGCCTTTTTGCTGGTCTATGCTCTGCTGTCTGCCCTTGTCCCCAGCCAGGCTGTTCATGCCTGGATCTGGCACGCCATGGCCATGACGAGTGGGGGTAGAATTGCTTCTGTTTGCCTTACTACTAGTTCTATTATTGACAATGCTAGCACCTTGGCTAATGGCATTACGTGTGCCATCACTGCTCTCCCTTCTTATTTTTGGTATTCTGGGAAGAACTGACACATCCACCCACATGGGCTTGGTAGGTGCCTTTTTGGACAGGTTGCTCTTGCTCGAGCCAGAGTCTTGGGTGGGCTGGATGGAAGGGGAGTGTGTGAGGTCTACTACTCCATTTGTTCCCTGATGACCGGGAGGATGGGTGGATCTGTTTGGTCGAACTGGCAGCAAACTTGAATGTCCTCGGGGTGGCAAATCAGAATGGGTGGCGGGTTGGATGCGGCTGGCTGAGGGGGACATATAGGGGGGTACACAAGAGGAACTCTGGGAGAAAGGTCTGCTTGTGGAGCTGTGGGAGGATCCCGGCAGGTCCTCGTCATAGTGGAAGGGAAGCGACGTGTCGCCTTGGTTGGGTGACATCACCGAGTTGATGTGGGCGCTGGCATCTCCTGAGATGCTGCTTTTGCTGCAACCTGGCTTTGACACACAGGCCATTGCTGTAACACAAAATATACAAATTACAAGAGTGTAGGAATTAAGTTCTTTGTTTGACAGATTATCGGACTTTTGTTGTACACTGCTCAAAGTAGTTCTACAGAGAAACAACAGCTGCGTTTACATGGGCACAAATAATCGGAATAAAAGCCCGATCTGAATAAAAATGCATCATATGAACATGTTGATTGGAACAATCTGATCCAATTCAGCTCAATCGGGAATAAATTGTATTACGATCAAGGGGGTGGTTTATGCCAATCGTTATTCCGAAACGCTTCGATATAAAACACTTCTGATCGTGACTCTCTTACCCTCACTCTTTATTTACTGAGGTCAGTACAGGAGGTTTCATTAACTCTGGCATAAAACACAACCGCAGGTGACGTGTCCGCTCCTCTGCTAATATAACAAGGCGTACATACATTGTGATGATGTCAAATTTGCACACACAGTGCGACCTCTGACAAAACAGTAAAATTAGTGAGCAAGGGCGCCATTCAGTGACAACAGTTAACAGAGGGAAAACTCCTGAATTGGATGGAGTGATCCACTACCGCATTTGTTGACAGCACAGGAGTAAATACAACTCTTCTTCTGCGGTTGTTTTAGAGAAATCAGACAACTCTGCACATGTCCAAATGATTCTAAACTGAATAAAGCTTGGTGCTTTTATACACACGTCATGATTAGATTATTTGATTTTGCACCCACATAAACAGTGGATTCAGATTATCCGATCCCTCAGATTTCTTATCAGATCAAGAAATTTTGCCCATGTAAACGTGGCTATTGACAGTGTTGGGGGGGGGAAACAGCACAGGAACAGTGAAAGAGACTTCTTCAGTCTCCATCAGCTGAGACTGACTGAAGAATAACCAACTGTCCCTGTGGGAGGACACTAACACGACTGTTCTCTTCTCCTGTTGCCAGATGGTAGATCTTTTGAAATCAGATATTTACCCATTGAAAGTGCTTCACTAAGACAGTCAGGCTGAAGCTGTTTGATATTTTACATTCAGGACTTGCAAAAACCTTATTTCAGTCGCATCAAATAATTTTATGACATATGAGATCAGGTGTGGTCCACAGTCTGTCTCATGATCGATCAAACCTTACAGTATAAAATAAAACAAAGGCTTACCTGGTTTTGCAGCTTTAAGTGAACCATCTCGATTGATAACAACATCAGAGCTGTCCATCAGGAGCATGCTCTGTCCTGTGAGGATGCTACCCAGCAGGTCAGGGACAGGAGCTGCCTCTGCAACACCAACTGACTGGGGGACACCCACGGCCCGCCTGATATCGCAATGGAACCAAAAGAGAGAAAAAAAAAAAGTGTACTCTGAGTCATTTTCTTTGTCATGCTCAAGCAGATTAAAATTAAAATTGTTTACACCTCGACACAAAACCAGCAGAGACTCAGATCTGACAGAGCTGACCACATTGTTTACGAGATTCAATCAATCAAATTTTGTTTATATAGCGCCAAATCACAACAGTCATTATCCCAAGACGCCTTCTAAAAAAGAGCAGGTCTAGACCACACTCAGATTTCCATAACCACGTGGCAGTTAATGTCTGCTATGTTAAAGGGATATTCCGGCGTAAATTGAAGTTATGGTCAAACACACATGCAATTACACCGAGACGCTAAGGAACTACTGCGTCTGCAGTGCACATACATCATTCACAAGAACTCTGATTGCATTTCAATGAAAGTAAAAAACATAAATGTTCTTCCTTGAGCTGCGAAACTCTGCTGCACTCGGTGATCAACTCGTTAGGGCCCACAAACAAGCAGCTACTGGAAGAGAGTGGGTGAGTTGCGTTTGGTCTCTTTGCTAAAGAAACCAGGCTAAGCTAAAAAGATGTTTGGTGGCTAGTACTATGGCTGGGACCCTATATGTACTGTTGATGAAGTTAGGTGCTGTTCTGAGCATTATTTGTGGCTATAGAGTGACTTTTTGGTTGAGGTTTGCAGGTGGAGACATAGACCACTGTATATTGCTCTCATGCGGTTGTTATTAAAGTTGGTATAGCTAGAGAAGCAAGCAGTCGGCAACATTCATCTTTCGAAAGGGGGGTCTAAGTCAGTGTTACGTTTTTTTTGACCATAAGTTAAATTTAGGTTGAAATATCCCTTTAAGGTACCCATAAGTAGGACCATTGTTTGCACACATTAAGGAAAGGGGGATGTTTACCTGGAAAGGCTTCCTGTGACTGGTCGAGCTACTGGCTGGTGAGATCGAAGAGCAGAGCGAGAAATCCCTCTTCTCTTGGCCTCCAGCAGCGATGTAACGTGGGCGTGCTGATCAACCTCCTCACTGGTCAAAATCAATAAAATAGGTCACAATGTGTTCAAACGAGCACGGTATAGGCACACATTAGAATATTTTATATATCAATATATAATATCATACTGTACTCTGTATAATTTGAGTGCATTTAAACAACATATAAGTTGGTACCTTGACGAAATCCTTTTTGTGGTCATGTGTAACTCATTCTCACAGATATCGTTTTAAAAACATCCATAAGCATTTGCAGTTAGTATAATGGTCTTCTCACCGATCCACAAATGGGTCCAGGTCAAACGGATCTCCATAGATAGAGAGGGATGCAGCACCTATGTCAGCACGCATGTTACTGAGCGTGTGCTCTGCTGGCCGGTACACTGTGGGCAGTGAGGAGCTCTTCTTGTCCTTTACTATTCCCAGACTATTAGCGATGCGACTTCGAGTAGTGGCTGACTTTTTCAAAGCCTATCAGGGAAAACAATTGAAGTATTTAAAACCCATACAACCAGATCTTGTAAGTTTAGAGAATGAAACTGATATAACACTTACCAGCTTTTTTCTGGCTCTACCCTTCCTTGTTCTCCGTCTTCTCCTCTTGACTCCTGTAGTTGCTGCTTTTCCGCTTCTACTCTTAGCAGATGTCTTCTTGGCTTTTCTGCGCTTTCCTGTGCAATCAATCACAATGGTCACCTCAAATCATAAACACAAACCAGTATAGCTTGTGGCTCTCTTTTGCTACATATACTTTCAATTGTTTGAAAACAATCAAATTCAGTTTTTATCATCAGTATGTATGAATTGTATGTTTATTGCACGAGTTCTTACTCACCAGTCTTGCGTCTGCGGCTGGATGGGATGCGAGGAGTGAGGTTACGTATATACACGGATGTGTTGAGCCCAGCCACCACAGCATTAATCGTTTCATCCAGCCAAGTGGACTGTATCAGATATGTAGGGGCGAGCTGGTGTAAAAAAATGAGCATTTCTTTAGAAACACGAGTGTAAATCACATGCATTTGAAAGCAAAGTATGAAAATGACAAAACATGCCATCATCAGTGCTGTAAGTCACACTCAGGAACTTATACAAGTACACAACTGGTAAACCCACAAACATCATCAGCTAATGTTTCCTCTGAACTCCTTCAAACTATGGGAAACACAGAGACGTTTTTTTGAAGTTCCAGCGTGGCACATATGCTGTTAAAATGAGTTAGAGAGTAAGCCAAGTCAGAAGCATCACGCCTCATGCCAAACCTGCGATGAGCGTGCCTGTGTGATGCGATGTCGGTTGACATTAGCTCGAACCCTCTCACTCTGCTGAGTGCGAGCAATGGCTCTGGTGGGACCCACGGCGCGGGACAGGGAGTGGCTGGTGGTAGGACCGGCAGTAGATGGTAAACTCTCTGTATCACTGAGTTCCTCAGCTGAACCCCCTGAACCGAGAAGTGAAGACTGGCTTCAGCACAGATATATATATATTTTTTCAATCCTTTTAAGTGTGTTAAATTTTTTATCAGCATGAAGAGCAAAAAAAAATGTTGAGGTTTACGTGAGTGACGGTTGTGAGCTTCACATTCAGGGCAGAACCATTCTTCGACGGGAACTGAGTCAAGTGGGGGGGTAAGACACTCCATGTGATACCTATTGAAAAACCAGGCCTCATAAATATTCCTGAATCTATATAACGTGACAGGTTGGGAACTAACTTTAGCTCTGATGCAGGCTTTAGTTGAAGTATGTATCTTTTATACATATCAGTCTCACCCAGCATCACAGCCATCACAAAGCAAGAGGCGGTCCTCTCGGTCACTGCCACCACACACCTCACAGTTGGTCTGCTCGAAATCCACACTTATTGTTTCCTCTTGACCTACCTTCACAGGCTTCTGTACAGTGATCTGAAATCACAAAAATCACACATGGGATATAAAATCACCTTACATTAAGGTACATGGAGTGTACTGAAAAAATCCAGTGTGCCAGAAGCTATGATGGAAAAAAATAAATAAAAAGAAGAAGACACTTACCATTTTCTTCACTTTGCCTCCAAAGCATTTCCTTAGGTAGATGCTGTTGAAAGCAATCCGGTCCACGGGACATGAGTTTGCATTCTGAAAGGTCAAAAAACAAACACTGGAATTGAGCTATTCATCTTTACAAAATACAGATGGTTTATCAGTGTAGAAAATTCACTGACGCTTGAAGTATTTTGCTAACAAAGTGCTCTCTGGGCATTATGGCACACCTACCTTGGCCCATTCGAGGATGCAGTCAAGACAGAAGTAGTGTTCACAGTTCTCTGGTGTAGCAACAGGTTGGCTGCTGAAGGAGTTAAGGCAGATGGGGCAATTGTCCGTGTCCTCGTCTGAACTCTGCCCTGCAAGGTTAGTAGAGGTTCCCCCAAAAGCTCCACCCTCAACCGTGGCACCATCCTCCTCTTCATCATCTGACAAAAGTAGAGATCTAGTCTTTTATCTTGCTGGACATTGCAGTTAGACAGAGAATAACATTACTAAATACCGTGAGTCACAAAATAAGACTTAGCTGTTTTGTTCAACTACAGAGATACTTAAAGCACACTCATACTAGACAATCTGCACTGTACCCAAGCGCATTTCACTTTTTAAGTCCAGTTTGTTATTTTTTTCACTTTTACCTAAATGCCACATACCACGCTGACATTGGAGTGTAGAGACAGGGCGTTAATGCTGTCAGGCTGTCTGTTTGCTCAACAAAAGCAGCAGAAAAACACTTCACTGTTGATTTTTAAAAAATGAGCGGGAAGTAGGTCTGGGCGATAAACTGAAAATTTACTGATACTGAAATTTACGACAATAACCGATGTCATTTTGCCTGTGTCAATATATTCAGTGTCAAAGAATTAAATAAATAAATGTTGGTTTTGGATGTTTGTAGGTAGGCTATGGTCTCATGTCCTTTTAGATGCTGTCCTATGTCGGAGACGTGACTCCACCCCACCCAGTCCGTAAAACACAGGGAAAGACAGGTGAGGAGATGGAGGACGGTTCAAAAGTTGTAGCGGCTGGAGTGGTGGCTGATTCTGAAGCAGATGAAGTTAATGTGGGAGGGGATGAGCAGCTTGTGGACAACTCATCATCCATTTATTGTTTTTGAGGTGAAGTGATCAATATATTGTGATATTGATTTGAGGCCATATCACCCAGCCCCAGCAGGAAGGCAGTAAAAATGGGACGAACAACATGCAAAAGTGAATCCGGGCAAGAGGGAGGCATCAATCAGCTCAACAGTCTCCCACAAGCTGATCAGCATTAAGTTTAAGGAAATTTATATCACACTGACTTACTGGGGGGAACGGAGAGGGCTACACTGACTCCACTGGCTATAAAGAAGAATACGAAGATTGAAACAGCATAGAAAACAAACAGCTTGTCCATCACTCCCAGGATGTTTTAAGGTATGACACGTGCATTAAAATATTTAATAAAAACACACAGTAATATTATCAGAAAGATCCATAGCCCTCAACACTGGTAAATTATGAGGGATCTCTCTCTCTCTCTCCCTCTCAGTGAACCAGGATGCGCTGTCTCACAGTACATAATCAAATCACTGATTAAATTAATCACTGAAAGCATTCAAATTTTCATTTGTCGTTTCTTGCGTTTCATAGTCTGTAGATGTCAGACAACAGGCATATTTGGCCATTGAAAGTGTGAGTCTAGTAATGGTTATCTATTGATGAAAGTCTGAAATATCCCAGGTGGTCTGCAGAAAACAATTTGTAGTAAACTTCACTGATGTCCTCTGTATTGTTGTTGATTGTGCTGACTCTGAGATGCCATTTCTTGTAAATTAAGGAGATCACATGATGATGGAGAGCCAAGCATGTGTCGTGTTATGACCAAGGTGTAAGAAATAAATGTGTCAGGCCAGTTTAAGCCTGAGGCAGTGTACGTGCAGGCCAGCTGAGGAGTGGGAAGGGAGAAAAACATGCTTCAGTTCAGTACCATTCAGGGCAATAAGACCTAGGCCCAATCCCAAACCGCCCCCTAAACACTCGCCCTATACACTCTCCCTCTGTTTGTGCGTCTCCGCGGAGGCTCCGCCGTATTGAAGGCCGTCTCAAACCACAGAGTGAGGAGGGCGAGTGGACTGTTCAGCCCTCAAATAACGAGTTTGCACCGGTGCTCATTCATGGCAGGATTTGCAGGTAGTGCGCCAGCAAAGATGGAGGAGGAGGAGGAAACAACATACAAATATAAGTTCCGTATGTGTCCACCTTTGTCTTACTGACAAAAAAAAAATCACAGAAGACGTGGTTTGGAAAGATCAAATGAAACTCCGAAATCGTACTCTGTGCTGACATTTGTTTTGATTGTGCATGCACATGTCAAATAGTAAAGGGGTTCAAAGACGTGTGGAATCACTAACAATCAGAAGTTAATTTAGCTCCTGTCACTGTAATGGTTACTGGATTTATGATTTTACTGAGACGATGAAGAAACAAGGCAGCCGGAGCGGCTCAGAACTGTATATGATGTCCGTTTACTAAAATAATAAACGCTGCCTTGCACAGGACGTGTCTTTATGTTGCTATGGCGATGAATCTTTCCGTTTTCCAGTGAAGTAGGGAGGGCATCCCATACCCGCCCATCTTGTTTATACCCTCCCATTTCAATTGAGGCGCAATCCACAGCTGCGAGTGTAACTTCATTACGAGTGACACTTGGTAGTGAAGGCGGAGTGTGTAGGGGTCGGTTTGGGATTGGGCCCTAGTGTGAGTGGGTCCTTGGTTTTGCTTAAGTGCAAAAGTTTGAATACATGTAGTTTTAAGAAGCAGCGACTTGAGACCACCATTTCATGCATATCCATAAATCTAAGGCATAAAATAAGCAAAATCTGATTAAAACAAGCACAAATTCACAATGTGTATATTTAGCCATCCTACCATCCCCCTCTTCATTTCCTTCTTCTTCTTCTTCCTCTTCTTCATCTTCTTCGTCATCCTCCTCATCATCCTCTCCATCTAGGTGACCCTCTTCTTCCCCATCACAACTATCAGATTCCCCCTCATCAGACCCTGCTTCATTGTCATCTGAGTCATCTGGGAATGAAATTGATATGAAATTACACACAAAGTGCTCAAAATGTTGTGATCTTACAACTGTGTTTGATACTGAACTCAAAAAGAAGTCATATTACAGGAATGCTACCTGAGATGGCCCACAAAGCAGCCCTTTTTCCTTTGTTGTGTGATGTACTGCGATTGATCAGCTCATCTTGGCTGTCATCTTCATCCATGGCTGACCATTAGACCAACAGGAGGACAATTTCTCTGACAGCTTTTTTCTCAAATGAACCTGAGAGGATAGACCACAAAACAGAGAGCCTTAGGTATACAACAAAGTATCTGCATTTCAGAGTCAATTTGAAGTTTAGGACATGTATAAGTAGGACTGGGCGATTATATGATCGTGATCAATGATTGTGATAAATTTCAGTTCCATCACAGTGATCAGCTGAGAGCATATTTACTCGATCAAACATAGAGGAAATGTGCGCCACAACAGCCAATCAGAGTCGAGCTTTTCCTGCTCGCTTCTGTAAGTTGCTGGAGAAGTAAACAGAATGACCAAACATGGAGCTAAACGCGGAGCTGAGGGCAGCAAGATAGTTGTCAGCCGTGACTTTGAGTCATTCTCCTAAGATGTTATTTTTGAAAAGTTATTCAAGGCCGGTTGTGTGGCGGTGGTTCTGGTATCTCCAAAGTGACGTTGAGTAATTAAGCCGATGAGCAAGGTATGTCAGCGATCGGTGCCCTCAAAAACCAGCTATACAACAAATCTGGTTAATCATTTGAAGAGGTACTTCCCCAATGATTATGCAGAAAGCGTGAAAATATGAGCGGAGTCTGCACAGCCTGTCACTGCTAACGGCACGAGTAGCATTTGCAGTTTAGCCACAACTAGCAGTGCAGCCACCAGACCTAGGCAGTGATTAATCATATCATTTATGTTTAGATCATCTAATGTTTACATTTTAAGGCGTCTTCATTATCTCTGAGGGGGCGATTTGTTTATTTTGGGTATTGAATACCTGCAAAAACACTCAGGACTGTAAACTAATTCACTGTATTATCTAGTATTTATCTACATTTGTTGTACTGTTGAGTTAAAATGTTTTTTATATTGCTCTAAGTTTATCTTATTCAATTTGCTTTGTTATTTACTTTCAATGTTTGTAAAATGTTGAACTAATCCCTAGTTTCTTTAGTTTTTAGTACAGATGCTTTAAAACAGGCAGTTTAAAAAACGTGATAATAATCGAGATCGGACGATATGACAAAATATATATCGTGATCATTTTTTTTTTTGCCAAATCGCCCAGGCCTATGTATAAGTGTGACAAAATCTCATCATGAATTATGTGCATTCACAAAAGTGAAGCAAAATTACTCACAGTTTAATAGACAGCGGTGAAAAACTGATTTCCAGTCAACTTTATGGAAAGACAGGTCAGTAATCTGACAGCATGGGATCTTGGTCTGCAGGGTTCAGCAACAATAACCGGATATATCAAGTCAAGCATCATTTCATAACTATCTTGGATTTACGACACAGAGGGCTGAATAATATTATTGTTAATCTCAAATTTTATCATTGTCTGACAAACAAAAACCGATAAACTAGCGTCAACACTGAGCAGCTAGCCAGCAGCTGCCTGCAGGCGATGCTAAAGCTACTTTTGTAAACAAAGAAGAATAACTTGTTATCATAACGAGTGATTTCCTCGTGCCTTGCATGATATGCGCGTAGCGTAAATTCAAACAAACACGAGACGTTATTGTGCACTGACACGAGCCCAAGATACGCCGGTCAAGCAGTTCTTACTCAACAAATGGCGTTAGCTAGTCACATTAGCTGTCGTTGAGCGTGTTAGCTAACCCCAGAATAGCAACATATAGCAACCGACCACAAGCTCTCCACTGCTACAAACATAAAATATGTGTTTTTAATTGACGTAAACTCTACCATTAACCCTCTTTGATGAAATACCCCACCAGAGAACTCAATGGCATATCAAACAATTAAACCTACCCCATAAATAAATGTGTGGTTAGTAGGAGTGATTTGAAGTCTCCACTGTTGTTGAGTGACACCACCGGCTGGATATCCACGGAAAAGGCCGAGCGCACTCCGACGCTCGACACTCTTAAAGAGACAGTACCTGTTTTATACAACACTGTTCACGAAGTCACACGGCGAAGCCCGATGTGTTATGATACCCGGGCTTAAGTTTTATCGGCTTGAACACAGCACAGTTCAAAAGTTCAGCACAAGTTTTGTAGTACTTTACCGCTCTAATTTATACAGGAGTGGCCTGAACAGTGCGAACTAATGTCCTGCATTGGATTACCCCTTTTCTTTCTTTCTTTTTTACCTTTTTTAAATCAATTTAGGGAAAGACATTGTGTGTATACTGATTAGTAAATTACAAGTAAAATGTAACCCTGCTTGGCTGATGGTTAAATCACAGAGGTACAGAGGATACCGACTTCAGGGCAGTGGCCTGATTACAATGTCCCATGGCTTCCTAATACATATCAAACCCACGCTCTCTTTCCTGTTTCCAGTTTTATCCACTGTCATACAAAACTCAGTAAAGGCATGAGAATACCCATTAAATGTATGCTACCTCAAACAAGATAATATCACAAGAGACATTTCAGTCTTCTGTAAATTTTTGCGAACTCAAATAAAAGATGCTGTGTCCAAATTACGAACTAAAGTATTTATGACAGGAAATGTGCCTCATTTGCATGCTAAAAAGCTGCTGGCCTCCTATTGTAGTACAGCATGACTGATTGATTTCAGCCGAAGTTCAGCCCTTGGCAAGGATGTTGGGGATGGCACCTGAGCTGGTTATCAGATTTCAAGCGGGCCCCATGCTGTCCCTCTGGATCCACCCCTGTCTCACAGCCAGCACTTAAGAATTTAACAACTGCTACACATCTTAGAAAGCCAACTCAGAAATACATATCAAGCTAAATATTTATAATTCATTTACTATCATAATTAAAAATAAAAACATAGTTATTGAACCATTTGTACCCCAAATTTTCTCCATATTTTTATCTGAAGAATCATGTTATGTGAGTCAGACATCAATGTATTCTGCATTTATTTCTCCATTTTGTGCTTTCTTTTTTAGTAATATTGTATTTGAATGAGTGGGTACATGCATTGCATCTACAACCAAAACAGTGAAATTTGAGATAAACCACTAAAAATGAAACATGACTAAAGGACTTTTTTTTTTCTCCAGAGCTGTCCTTGTTTCAAATATAATTTTTATTTTAAAAGGTGTGTGAAAAAGTAGACTAATAAGCAATTTTAAAAAGATTTAAAATCTAAAGATAAGAAGGAAGAAAAGTCATTGAAAGTGGTTGGAAGATTTCAACATGACAAATCTATAGAAAGAATAACAGAAATTGCCATAATAATAATTTAAATTTTACAACAACGGTGAAAAACTGGAACATTTTTTGGCTTTTTCTGGTTTGTTTTTTGTGTATTGTGTATTATGACTATCACACAAAAATGTACCATGATACTAAATTCAAACATGGTTTGAAATGGTTATATAAAGACAAATAAAATTTTTAATATGTGGTTATGATTTTTGCCAACTTATAAGGCATCTTACAATTACAGAATGTGAAAAAGAGAGTGTTTTTGTTGAGAATCTGCTTCATAATTATACTAAAGATTCCAAATTCCACACTATGTACCTTAAAAATGAGTAGGATATCAACTATCTCGCCTACTGTGCCTTCACATGGTTACTTTCAAACCATTTGCCCTCCCCATCAGTAATTGTTGCCATTCAGTGTAATGATTTCTAGAAAAAAGCCTTTACATCTTATTGGTTATTTGTGTGGTTTGGTGGATTCTTCACACTTTCATGATCAAATAGATATACATGTATTTGTATTAGCATCAACAATTTTACTATATTATATTATATTATATTATATCATAATCAGTACATTTTCTTGGAAAGTTTTGTCATTAGTTAATTTTTAGCGAAAGTGACCCCACTGTCTAATTATTGAGAGAAAAGGCAGAATGCACTTGTAAAGACAGCTTTCTAAGATGTCTTCTTAATTATGATTGATAGATACATGACATGAATGTACATGCCCAAAAACTGGTGAAGTTAGGACATTGTGTAAAGTGTGAATAAAAACAGAATACAAAGATGTGCAAATCCTTTTCCATCTAATCAATTGAATACTAACAGTCACACACACCCATACTATCACGAATGCTGGCTTTTGAACTTTGACCTCATAACAATCTGAATGGTTCTTTTCCTCTTTAGCTCCGAGGACAGCGTGTCCATGATTTCCAAAAATAGTGTTGCTGAGCCAGAGTGGTAAAATCCTTTTTTAATGCAGTGCCGCCTGAGGGGTCAAAGGTCATGGACATGTAATGTTGGTTTTTTTAGTTTTGTTGCTTACATGTAAAGATTTCTCTGGACTCTCTCAACCTTTAGACATTATTTTGGTCTGTAGATGCTGAAATACCTACACTCCTGCAATTGCATGTTGAGAAATGTTGTTCTGAAACTGTTAAGACTATTTGCTTGCACAATTGCTCACAGAGTGATAAATCCCCACCCATCCTTGCTTGTGAAGGACTAAGCCTTTCAGGACTGCTCCTTTCATACCCAACCATGACTCTTCACCTGTTTCCATTGAACCTGCTCACCTGTGGGATGTTCAAAACAGGTGTTTTTGGAGCAGTCCTACATTTCTCCAATTTTTTTGTTGTCCCCGTCTTAACTTTTTCAGAAAATGTTGAAGGCACAAAATAAAAATTGAGTGAATTTTTGCAAAAAGCAGTTAAGTTTACCAGTTTGAACATGCAATATCTTGTCTGTGGAGTGTATTCCGTTAAATTTAGGTCAAAAGGATTTGCAAATCATCGATTCTGTTTTTATTCAAGTTCTACACAACATTCCAACTTCACAGGAATTGCAGTTTGTACATTGGGAGTTACTGAGAACTTAGGGAAGGGAAAGGTAAAGGTGAGTTACTCTCTGCTTCATCCAGTATGTTATGGTCACTGTCCAAAAAAGGAATTTGTTACTTTCTCTGTGACACTCCCACTGAAGTCACACCTGCTTTCTTCCCTAGAATTCCCTTTGATTCTCTTCATATATATACATATACAGTGCCTTGTAAAAGTATTCATACCCCTTGAACCTTTTCACATTTCGTCATTCTACAACCACAAACTTAAAAGTATTTTATTGAGATTTTTTGTCATAGACCAACACAAAGTAGCACATAATTGTTTAGTGGAACAAAAACAATACATGGTTTCCAAAAATTTAAACAAATAAAAATCTGAAAAGTGTGGTATGCATTTGTATTTCTGTGGTTATTTTACACCTTTCGCTGCAATTACAGCAGCAAGTCTTTTGGGGTATTTCTCTACAAGCTTTGCACATCCAGAGACTGAAATTTTTGCCCATTCTTCTTTGCAAAATAGCTCAAGCTCAGCCAGATTGGATGGAGAGCGTCTGTGAACAGCAATTTTTAAGTCTTGCCACAGATACTTTTCAAGGCACTGTTTATGTGTATATTATTGTTATATGTTTATATGTCTATATTATTGTGTTATATGTGTATATTGTTGCCCAACCAGCAGTAACAGGTTTGAAATTTATAGGTATGCAACAATAAAAGAAATTAACCCAACTTTTTTGGGAGTTACATTATATATTGCATGCGTTATCATAAAGTGGTAATATTCATAATACTGTAATTTGATTTACAGGTGTCTGGGCAGTAACAAAAATAGATAAATTCTGCACATTTTCAATTTTTAGTTTGTTTTTAGCAGAATAGAAAATGCCAACATGTTTAAATATCATAAAGTCAATCGGTATGGAAAGAGAAAAAAATGTTTCTGTTTATGTCCATGTTGTCAAAAGAATGTGATATAGCTGTTGAAAAAAAGGAAATATACAGAGGCACACACGAGCAATGGGGGCCAGAACAGGCTCAAGCACACACCTCAAACTGATGATATTTCTCACCAGCCCATACTACCTGTTGCCCCCTGGTGGCAGCTTTCACTTTGACAAAATCAGATGTTACATAATACAACGTAATCCAGATTTGCTACTTTATGTCATGGGGTTATGTGTATCCTGGCTGCGAATAATCCGGCTGGCCTTTGGCTGTCAAAAATTGGTCAAAGAGGAAAAAAGACTGGATCGACCTCACTCAGACAGGTTTTGTCATAATATCCTGGAGACAAAGAGGGAACATCATGTTCCAAAGTGAGTGAGGGGCTGCGATTTTTGTGTGCCCTCGAAAAGAAGTTTGGTCACAGCAAAATTTCACTAAGACATTTTGTGCTGATGTCAGTGTAATAACAGTGATGTTTATTTATTTTATTTAAATATTGTCTTTATGTATTCAGTCAATTTTCTGCTTTAACGTGTTTGAGTTTAATATATGTGATGTTGAATTATTTTTATTGCCTAACAAATTGAAGCTTGACTTCTTTCTTCAAATTGCTATGATGTAAGACAGTTACAAACTCTCATTCCTTGAATAATTGAGTGGCCATCATTATCATCATCATCATCCTCCTCCACCACCACCTCCTCCTCCTGCTCTTCCTCGTCATCATCAGATCAGACTGTCATGCTGCATCCTTGGTACGTGCACAGCCACACTCCGCTCATGGCAACACTGTACACAAGTAAGCCGAGTTCAACCACTTCACACTGTAGGGGTAGGGGCGTCCTTTGTCAAAGCGCCTTTTAACTCTTCAGCACACCTCCAGTGGCAGCTGTCACATCACATGCCGTCTATTTAAGGGCAAACAAACCTGCGTCTCACTCATACTTGTATAAATAATCGTCCAGGACAGGAAACTGTTAACACGATAATGGTTCATTCCTAATGTACGACGTGCAGAACTGAACGCGCCGCACCCCAACTACTACTCTACAAGTCAGCTGAACCTGCTGCCCTCACTAAACCAACCTCTTACAGCTTTTCATTCGTTGATTATCTATGATAGGCGGGTCTTGGAGCCTAAACTTGGGTTTTGATTGGCTACACGCACTGCCAGTTTCCTCTCAATTTGCATAACCAGGTCGGGTTGCAGATGCAGGGGAGTGGGCAGGGTATGGGTAGTGCAAGTGAACTGAACTTGTGCGTCGGTGTAGGCTACACTATGTTCTTTAAATGCACCTAACTTTAAACGTGCTCCGTGATTTCTTTTAAAGAAAAAACAACTAGGATATGTACCACGATGGTAGAGAGGACCGTTTCTGCAACAGCGACCTATTCTTCCTTTGAAAATTAATCCAAAAGAAAACTTGAAACTGGTAAGTAGCTCCTTTATGTACTATTCTTAATTTCGTGTTTATATTATGGATAAATAGGCACTAATCATCTATTTATTTTTTATACATGTATTTATAGTCTATAAATGTAACAAGAAATTATTTTAAAACTTTTGACACAAAGTACATCAGTATATTTCGGTAGGTAAATGTATACATCGATGACTGGGAGCCAGCAGTAATTTATAAATCTGTGGTACATTTTGTAACGGTGTCAGAACAAACGAGGCAGTCATATATTTGTCATTTTCTAAAATTACAGTTTTACTACAGTATTATTATTAAGGCTATTTTTGTAAATTTCAGTGAAATGAATCTGCACTCTTCATGTTGACTTGTCTGATTTATTACTCTGCTATAGCTCAGCCTTTGTCTTTGTTACTCCACAGATCAGTCTGAGCTCTAAAAGCAGGTAAGCCACTGACTAACGCACATTGTGCCAGTTGTCAGTTCCACTGTGCGTGTGACAGCGGCTAACCTGGTTTTGGGAATACCTCTCATTTTATTTTCATTTCTGGGCTTGTGCAAGACCAGCCACAGCCGGACCAAACAGACACCTACCTCCAAGCTTTCCCTGAGCATGTGCACATTTCTGGAACAGGCCTTCCCACCATGACTGTTTAGCCAGTGGTCTCCATGTGTAGACTACTTCCTCACATGTGCACATACTGTCCTCTTATTTAGGGCAAATTGCACTGCCCACGTAGAGGCAACCCCTTTAATGCCACCCATTGTCAAGACTATTGGTGAGTGTTTTATTCCTGTTTCTGTTTCATCTTACATGATAAAAATCCTGTTTTTCTCGCAAGTTCCAAATTTGAGGTCAGAGGCCCTCCAGGGGCTCCTGGAAAAGTCCTCATGGCCCTAAAAAAGGGAGCCTCGCCAGAATATGCCAAGCGTAGTTTTTGACACACTTTGATTGTACATTCTGTTCCACCATTCAGCAGTTACTTTCTCTAAAAGAAATGAAGACATCAACTGTACTGTACCATTTTTGTTTGTAAAAAGCACTCCCTAGACCAGGAAGTAAAATTTCTATTTAAAACAACTGTGGTATCATGTATTTTACTTTCTGTTTTACTGTGTGATGTACGTCTTGGTATTCGAGAGGAGGTTTCGTTCCCATTGGTGCATAATGACTCATTGTGACACAGAGGAATAGATAAGTGCAGTATGTCAGACTCATTAACTTGTGGCCCCATTCATCATCATAATGTGGACGTGCAGATGCTCACTCACATGAAGGCGGTCGCTTCTCAGTCACCCTCTGCTCTCCATGTGCTGATACATTTTCATTAGAAAGAGGTCAGGTGTACAAGCTTGTACATTGATCCAACACCTTCCACCAGCGGATTTGAATGAGGTTCATGTAGAGTGTCATGTGTGAGTGAAATTAATTCCCTCAGGGTGCCGTCAGGAAACATTTCCGTAATCTGTTAATGCCTGCGTGTCTGTGTCTATGAGACTGGATTTTTCTTTTAGTTAAGGCATGCGGGCATAAATGAAGAATGGGCATAAAAAAGTTGTCACGTAGCATGTGGGATAGGGGTATGAAAAAAAAAGGATAAATTCCCAACACTGGCCTGGGGTCATCTAAAAATAAAACATTACATCAGAAGGTTTAATAAGCAGGACAATAAAATGAGTTAGAGAAATGATCACATGGCTTTTAAATGGATGATCAGTTATATCAAACTTCATCTTAAGTTTAAAAGTTGCCGAAGAGAAACCCAAAAAGAAATACTTTCTGTTTTCACTTTTAATTGTTTGTGCAGTATCATCCACACCCACAGGTTGGCGCCAGCGCTGCATCATCCTGCGGCTTGTCCAGACAGTGGGAGCTGAACAAGGATTTGGCGATTATCTAACCCCGGCCAAGCCAGACAGCTCTAAATCTTCTCAGTAAAATCCAATTTTGCATAATTAATCATAACATCTGAATTGGCGTTCTGGTCTGTTTTCCCTCCATTCTCAACACAGGGTCAAGAGTTCACAGCATCAGTAAAAATAGGAGCTGTGTATCTTTTTGAGAGAGTTATTGTTATCAATTCATCGAAGCACTGGATATGTTTATTTTGGGGGTGGGGGGGTGGATTTTGCCCGGATGTTATCTGTGGCCAGGTTTTTATAGAATTCTGTAGGGTTTCAGTCAGCGGTCAGCATGGGATCAAGGAAAGATCAAGTCACTCAGTGTGACAGCTGGCATATTTACTCTCCGGGGTAAACAAACAGGAAAGGGGTGGAGGACAAAAGTGTTGTACAGGAGCCTGCAGTTGTGCAACTGTGTTTCTACCACCATTTCAGGGTGATTTTTATCATACAATCCAAAGTCACAGGACAATGATTTGTTTTGTTGTCGGAATAAAAAAAAGGGGTAAAGTTCCCAAGTTTGTACTGTCAGACATCCTCTCAGGAAAAATAAAACTTTCATTTTAGCATGACAAAACGAAAAGCTTTATAACTATGGAGCAGATACTTTCACACCTCAGTAGATCACTGCTCATGCCTCTAAAATGTTCACACTTCTGCACTGCCCTCGTGCCTTTGTGGTCACATGTCTTGTAGATCTACCGCGTTACATCATCCATAACAGCAGTAGCAGCTGTGATGCCAGGATGTCTACTACATGTCCCTCTGCTCACCAGGATGCACTCTATGAACTTTCAACCAGCCACCTGTGAATACCAGCTTCAAAATGCCCATTTATGATGGAGCTTCATCGGCCTCTTGGTACCATGAGCAATGAGAAGAGCATGCATATTTCAACACTTATAATAAATTCATTATGGCTTTACATAGGAGCTTCATGGCACAGTCATTTTTTGAAAGTGTACAACGGTGTGTTAAATATTTACCTGCAGGTACTATAAATGAGTTGAACTTCCTCTCTAACAAGTATTACTATGGCATCATGTGACTCTGTGAACAAGGTATTGAGAATAAACAACCACTCAGCAAAAGATTATCTAAAACACAATACACAATTTTATTATCTTTAAATACATAGTAATAACTGCTCTAAGTAAAATGTTCTAAATTATTTTACATTTCATACAGATATTGCAGTGTTTACAGTAGCAAAACTCTGTAAATATATTTCTTATGTATATACAATATGTATACTGTGGATTAAATAATGAGTTACAAAGAAAGGGGTTAAATAAGAAGTGATGGTGACTGAACAGTGAACAAGTTTTCCTTGGCTCTGTGGTCCATGTTTTATCTCCATGATGAGTCGCGGGATGTCAGGACTGTAAGACACACAAAAATAAGGGGGGGTGATGATCCTTTTGTTTGGAAAACATTTTTTCAGCTAAGAAAAGGAGAGACCAGGGTCAATCAAGATCTTCACGCAAGCAAAAGCCAACACTAGATCTGGTTATCCTTTACCCTAAGAGGACTATCACCAAAGTTTTTTAAAGTCAGGGTAGCATTTAGGGACAGCATTTTTCAAAGGATGTTTGTCTTTGACATGTCTTTAGTTTCCATGGCAAGAGGGAGGTTATGTAATCTCATAAAGGAAACAACAACTGGAGAAGAGAGTACACATTCAAGCACACTTGACTTTGACCCGTCAGCTTCTTAACGTGACTAATGTGAGTTTAGATGGTCGGGAATAACAGACATGATTACATCTGAAATGCTGAATTAACAGCAGCATCCCTCCTTGTCTGCTTAATTTTGCTAAAGGTGAGTGAGCTCATCTTACACCTACAGAACACTGAGGCACATTGCAAGTTATGACAGGTCAAATGTTAGGTGTGAAAGAAAAACTTGCACCTCCTTCCAAACAGAGGAAAAGAAAAACTTCACAAACCATGGCCCTGTCTGTTGAACTTCGGAAATGTATCTCTTGCTTTAAGTATTTTACCCCACATCTAAACTTTTAAGAGTTGGACATTCTTAAAAGTACATTGCAGTAAGCTCAAGATACATTTCTCTGTAGAGCAAACAAGGGCCAAGGCTTCACACAGGAGGAGAATGGGACAGTGCAATACATTTTGCAGAGCCCTCCATGAAGGCTCTTGCTCTTTGGATGTTGTGTCACCAAAGTACAAGGCATTGTATAGATACCCAACCCGCTCTTCTACATAGAAATAGTATCCATACAGAAAAGGCAAACTCAAAGACATTGGTCACGTATATTTCCATGTCACAGTAGAAAACGGCACAACAGAATCAGAATGTCTGCTACAGTCATTCCCGGTGCGATCGATGTGTTACATGGAGATACGGTGAGAAGCAGCTGTTGGTATTTGATTGTTGACTGGAGGGAGGGCCACTCTGTATTACAGAGGGGCGGGATTAGAGGCAAGTTCACAGATGAATTTGAGTATGAAGAAAGCAGATTCTGTTAGTCAAGAAGCAAACAGTGAGAGAGGATTCAGAGAATTAAAGCAAACAGGGGTATAAGAGGAAACAGAGGGCGGAATGTTAAAGTCTAAGTCAGTTTTATAAAGTCAGGGACAGGATTCAACAGAGGACACAGGCTTAGGTGCAAAAGAGAAGTTCTCAGCTTCTCAAATGAAAGGAACTTCCACCAGTCAAATGCTTCCACCACCCAACACCAAAAACTGCAGCCGCACTCTTGAACCCAACCAAGCTGGGGTAGAAAGTTTTGGGACAAAGGGCTCTGGGACGAGAGTAGTAGGGGAGCAGAGCGGGATGAACTTGGGGAAGCAGCAGGGTCTCACACATACACACCCTCAGGGTTGAGACTGGACACTAGAGGGTTTTGCAGGTTGCGTGGATGTCCGAGGAACTGTTTGGCAGTGGGTCGAGGCGGAGATTCCACTTGTTGTGCACTGTGGCCTGTCAGGGAGAAGAGAGATAAATTCACCTGTGTTATAATGTGGACCTCTAGTTAGACAGACAGTCAACAGATACAAAGCATCTGGCACTTTACCCTTAGTATGGACAGTGCTGTATGAAGTACTAAACAAATATATTTGAGCTGAAGTATAGTTACCTTACCAGAAAATGACTCACATCAAAGTGAAAGTCTCCCATGAGAATTCTACTCAAATCGAAGTCTTAAAGTATATCTTAAAGTATATTACATTCTCTCTACTTAAGTATCAAAGGTACTCAAGTAAATATACTCCAAGTAAAAGTCAAAGTACAAATAAATATATTTATATATATATATATATATATTTTTTTTTTTTTTTTGCAAAAGTCACTTATGCCTAAATAAGCACACATTTCAGGTGGGTGCAAGCAACAGCTTAGAAAAATAAATGGACACACACAGAGAGGGGCACACACACACACACACACACACACACACACACACACACACACACACACACACACACACACACACAATCAGGAGAGACAACAGTGCATCTTCCTACAAGAGGGAACTTGGGACAGTAGTTGGGCATGGCAAGAACTATCAAACAGACACTGGACATTTAGGTGGGTGCAAGCAGCCTACAAGCGGCTGCCGACACGCCGGGGCTTGAGTGACTGATTGACACGCAATGCAAATCAACATTAGGTAAAAAGGAAAAAAAGTTCCCCCTACCTGCTGTCATAGCAACAAAATAAAAACAGTAGAAGCAAAGATGCTTCTGTGAAATGTAGTGGAATAAAAGTATATTTTTATTTTCAGAACTGTAGTCAAGAAAAAGTTAAAGTTGCGGGCACGAAAAAAAAAATTCCAGTGAAGTACAGATTCTTAAGGATTGCTACTTCCTTAGTATAAAACACTGAGTTTGGTCTCCTATCAATGGCAATGGCATCAAAATAACACCTTATTTTGAAAAGACTCCATTTATTTTTGCTTCTGTACCTCCATTGCTGTATCCTTCCTGCAGAAGGTGTGCCAGTTCTAGCTGCTCCAGTTGCTCCTGGAGATCTGTGCGTGAGTGTGTGTGCGCCGGCAGCACACCTGTCTGCTGGATGAACTGCTGCAGGTTACACTGCCTCAGCTCCTTATTAAGATCCTCCAGCTCCTCCTGTTTGGCCTGAGAGGGAAATGAACATGGATCAGAGCAGAAACCAAGGGACAACTGAAATCACACACCAGTCACTGCTTACTCACTGAACACTGACATGTGCAGCAGATAAACTACCACTGGTTAAATGTCTTTCAATCAGTTCTCATTGCTCTTTTATCTTAAGCTCAGTTGTAATAATGACCAAACATAAATACCAGATTTTTTATAATTCTAGTGCAAGGCTTCTGTGTAAAGCAGTCACATTTCTAAAACCACCGTCGTTGTCATGTATCTTTTATAGCTGTAGGTGGCAGCAGAGTCTACAAGTCAGGACTCAGAGTTACTGACGGGAACTCCTGCCTATCAGCCATCATAAAACATTCAGCTACCATGAATCATCAAAGTCATTACCTCTGACAGTTTGAGACTTCATCACATTACTGCAGCCTTAGATGTATGTAATTTGGGATACAAACCAATGCTTATGTGCCTGCTGCATTCAATGGTTGTCCTGATTAACAAAATGCCGAAGGAGATGAGACAATGACTTGCTGTAATTATATTACATTAAGTTATTGGAGCTCAAGGATCTTTCATCTAGACAGTGGCTTCACCTTTGGGCCCACAGATTAAACTTAAATGCACACAAACCAGCCAGTCTATCCGTCTTAATCGACTGCCCATTTGTGTTTAATCAATGTGTCTGCACACAGTACAGGAAGCAGCAGCATCCCCGGTGTTGGTATTTGTGTGTGTGTGTATCCTGTAATTGATGTTGGACTGAGGCAGCCTGCTGAGGCACTTCACACCTGCAAGTCTGCCTCTATTAGCCTAATGACAGGAACGCTTTGCTCATCACCACCAACACTTAAACACTCGGCAGGCAGCCGCAACTGTTGACTGACACGGCCAGACGATCTCACCTTTCTATTCCTATACATCGAGCTTTATTGCGCTATATCATGTTAGCAGCACCAACATGTTGAATCCTGGAAATACGAGCTTCTTATTTCTTCCAGGAGATCACTGCCTGGGTGGCAAAATACCTCTGTGGTTATCTTTAATTATAAATTCTTGCAGCGCTGCTGACAACATTTAGGGATAGGGTGGTACAAATTATACCTCTGTGCGTGAAAAAACAAAAGCCTTTTTACCTCTACCCCACGGCAAAATACTCGGTTTAATATCCAAATTGATCATGACACAGTCCCACTCAGTTCCATCAATCGGAATCCAAATCCGTAGAGTTCACCCCCAGAGTCAGACACATCCCCACAGGGAAGACTGACTGATGACTCCAATGAGCTTATTGTTATTGTTAATTAGTTTTGCAGCAAGTTTGCAATATAATACATAAAGCTCAGATCAGGGGAGAGACACAATAGCCTCTCAGTCTGGATGGTTTTTGCTAATGAAGATGTGGAAACACTCTATTTCTTCCTGACAAAACATCTTCTACCATCCTACAATAAAAGAGGAATTTAATTTTCTTCACTCTTCAGGCTGGAAATAGTCTGAATGAGCTCACTGAGGTGGGTACTAGAGTCTTGGATAACAGGGGAAACTTGATTTTCATTTAACACTGGGTTAGGCTTTTATTAGTATAGCCGTTGCTATGACAACCGCCCAATGCAAACAAACAATAACACCATAAACTATGACAAGCTTAGACTAAGAGATCCAATAAAAAGGGTTTTTGTTCTACAAATCAATCTTCTTTAATTTTTTTTTTATACACAAAATACAAAAGTGCGAAGATACTGGCAATGTGACAGAAACACCATTTGAGACTGCGTGATCAGAACATGCATACAAAGAGACAGCTACCAAACCGGTTCAGCTGGACCATAAATTCAGTCAATAAAGGAAATTAATAAAAGGCAGGATATGCAGGAGTACCATCATGTCTCGCAGGATTACTTTCATATCAAACTGGCTTCATAACAAAACTTTGTTTGAGGAAGAAGTCGTCTTTTTATCTGTAATGAGTGTCTCTGCATGAGTGTTTGTCTGCTGCAGTGTGCAGGTAGGAGAGGGATACAGTTTCACAGTCTAGCTAAAGGGGTTTGTGCTACACCCTTCATATGAGCAAATATGGGCCATGGATGATGATTCATAGCCCTTTCTCCAGAACCGTGACCTCTCTCCTTACCTGCAGCAGAGACTCTGCCTTCCCCAGAGCCTTGTCAGTCTCAGATAGCTGCTCCTCCAGCTCTGTCCCATGATGCTCCTGGATGTGGAGCTCTGCCTTCATCGCATCGAGGGACTCTTCTGGTCCGTTGGCTTTCCCTTCAGCCTGACTCTCCCTCTGGATTTCTTGCTCTAGCTGAGCGGATCGGACAGAGAACTCGTGAAGCCGCCGCCCGCAGTCGTCTAGCTGTGCGTGTAGCTCCCCCAGCTTCCTCCTCATCCCCCGCTCCCTCTCCACCTCTGTCTGAAACTCCTCCTCCCAGTACTGCTCATGAGCCAGCTCTGCCTGGTTCCTCCGCAGTGCCAGCTCCAGAGCGTCCATCTCTTCTTGCAAGCGAGCGTCAGAAACTGGTGAAGGACATGGAGATGGATAGGGGCGCTCCCAGGAATGGGACTCCCTCTCTAAGGCTTCTAACTGGGCCTCAAACGCCCTCAGTCTCTCCTGTTGCTGCAGAACCTTCCTGAAGACCTCCTCTTTGGATGGGCCTATAGGTGGGGAGGGAGACGGGGATGGCACATGAGAAGAAACAGGACTAGGGGAAGGAGAGGGGGATGCTCTTTGTTCTGGAGAGTCACGAGGAGATCTCTTAAACTGTTTGGCTTTGGTTCGAGGAGAGGTGGATGGCCCCAGGTTGAAGGTGAGTGCTTTCTTCGGCTGGCTGCGTTTGGAAAGCTCTGGCTCAGGGTGCTTGGGCAGAGGGAGGGGAGATGGTCTGTCTGCTTTTGAACCGGGGCTGTCACTGCTGCTTGGGCCGGTGCGTCGCAGGAAGAACTGAACCTCGCTGCCGTGTTGGCCCAGCTTGGCTAGAGACTCTAAGGGCTTTTCTGTGGCCAGCAGCTGCCTCTCTGTGTCTCTAAGACGCTGGATCAGGACATAACGGCCTGTCTGACCTGTGGATGGATGGAGGGAAACAGAACTTGAGTGCAACGAAAACAACAACACCAACCATATTCAAACAAAAAACACACACATATCAAATGAAAGAAGCTTCAAAATCTTTGTAGCGGACACTTTTTAACCTTCAGTGTATTTAAGGTGTGTAGTCTGATTCCTCCCGCTTTTGATACACAAGCAATGCTTAGTGAACAAATGACATCAGATGCATTACCATGATGCTGATACCTCTAAACCGCCTTCTCTGAGGAGAGGAATAAAAGGCTGCTGCGTAAGACTCGCACGACGTGTTTAAAAAAAATGTTCAAATAAACTCAAGTTTCCACAAGGACCTTGAAATTAGGACAAACCCTCCCTAATGAGTTGGCAAGCAGCTCACTCATGGAAGGAGGAGAGCGCTAATTCTGGGTTTATGTTGTTCAACACTGCTGCAGTGTATGGCTTGAATATAGCTGGAGGACATAGGGACAGAGAGCCGGTTTAAATCCTGTCTGACCCCCTCTGACAATCCAGCACAGTTCTTCATGTGGGTCAGTGGAGAACTGAACGGTGAGTTCAGATCTTGGTTTCTTAGACCGTGGAAAGTACAGGAACTGTTTGTTTTGAGTCTCTCCGCGGGCAGGGCTGTTATCTAATCACTTAAGGCCCCATTAGATAAACCCTCAAGCAAACAAGCGATGTGAAAAGTAATAACAGATTTGGAATTAGCATCAAAACACCACCGCATAATGAAGGAGCTACTCACCGATGGCCTGAGCCAGAGCTATGACCACATCCTGGCAGGATGTCTCTTCAGACAGGCCGCACACCACCCGCACCACTCCGTCCACCCACACCTTGAGCTCCATCTGGACCACGCAGGATGGAATGAAGGGATAGGGTTGGTCTTCAAATCAGATCACTAAAGCTTTGCTTGAGTCACTCAACACTGCATGGCACTGGTTCTGAAAGACAAGAAGAGACAGAGACATGTTAGAGGTGTTGGTGAATCTAGAAGTGCTGTTTTTCTGTCCCGTGAACAGACGTTATCAAGTGCAGACACATTTCAGAGCTGTGAGGGCAAACTAATAAAGACACCATACTGACTTTGTACAGCCTTCTCTGGATCATGCTGTAATCCTATCCTAACGTATGACACAACTTGTTTTTACCTGAAACAAAAAAGACTGGAGGCCGTCATACACGAGGCAGCACCCTAACATGTTTGTCACGTTGATGAAATACCTGTTTCTACACTAAACAGGACAGGCGTCGCTGACGTTCTTCGCTGAGCGAGAACATGACTGAACTGTACATTTCCAGTACAGAAGCCAAGAGGTAGAGCGGTGTAAAAATTTAGTGAGGTTCCTGCTGGTTAGTTAAGAGTCCTGGCAGAATCTCGTGGACCTGGGAGCATAAATGCCAATCTGTAACCCAATTAAACGCTCTGCTGCCCTCCTTCAAAGCCGTTATGATAGCTTACCGCCGAGGGGAACGGACAGGGGAAAGTGGAGCAGCTCAAGTGTGTCTGTGTTTTGGGAGAGGTTGTTTGTGCAGGTAGAAATACACAGGAGTACAGCAGGAGAGGTCGAACAAGCATATTTGTGTGTCTTAGTGTGTGCGTGTGTGTGTGTCCCTTATTTTGATCCTCCTCAGCAGGACAAGAACTGGGTCTCATCAGACTTCAGAGAGTAGATCAGCAGGTAGGCTAACACGCGTCTGGGCAACAGGTTTAACCTAAATGAATATCGTTATCCCGGCCTCCCTCTGCCAGGCTGTATTTTTACAGCTCAGCTTCAAAACAAGGTAATAAAATACCGCAGTGCTCATAAAAAGTGAAATGCCCGAGGGCAGAGAGGCAGGATTATCTATAGAAGTTGGCACACTGAGTGAAACTTTGTAGCCTAGGTGGGTAAAAGACAACTCTTCACCCAGTCAGACAGATGGTGTTCCCTTTCTCTCCGTCTCTACGGTTCTCAATAGGAGGTGTTTAAAGCTGAGCCCCACCATTATCTTGCCCCTCATTCAGCGCCTGGCTCTGCTCCACTAGCTGCCTATAGGGAGCTGCTTTGGAGGAATGCACTGACTTCATCTGCCAGCCGGAAGAATTCCTGCTTTTCTTAACAAAGCCCTCACCCCACCCTGCCTCCCCTACCCCTCTGTCCCCCAGTCCTACCCCCCTCTGCCCCTCCGCTGCTGACCTGGCTCGCCCACGCCACTATTACTTCTCTGCTGTTTGGACGCCAAACACAACCTCTGCTGGGGTGCAACAGCCTATCTGATGTGGCAACAACATCACACAGAGTGGCTCCACATGGCAGCGCAAACTGAGATTGAACAAGATCACAAGCAACAAGCCGGAGACAGAGAGGGATGATCACATGTGGGAGAAATTCTTATGAACCGTGTGAGGGGGCGATGTCATTTTGATATTAAAAAGAGAGGGCTGTCAACATCAAACGCTGTAAAATTTCAATACACCAGAGATGTCAATATTTTTCTTTAAAAAGGGCACAGAGTGTGCTGTGTTGCAACACATAATTAGGCCTAACTGGTTGAGTCACAAAGTCAGTAGATAATCATTTACTTTACCTCATTCCTCTAGGCTTTTTTTAAAACACAGAGAGAGAGAGAGGAACAGGAAGAAATATTTTTATGACTTAAACTTTGTGCAGTGGAATACTTCCTTACAGACCTGAACAAACTTTGTCAGGTGAAAATGTTACACAGCTTGTAAGCTTGACATTCATGTTAAAGTATTCATGTCTGTATGTACAAGAAAATGAAGTCCTGTCTGACTTGGGTTGTAATGTTTTACATGTGAACAAACTCTCAAACAATACCTTTGAGAGTCTTTCATATATGGACTAGGGCTGTAAAGTCCTAGTCGACCAGTCAACTTATTGGTCGATATGTGCTGAGTCAACCAAGATTCTGGTTGGTCAACTCCATTTTTTTTCTGTGTTAATTTACTGTCTATGGTTAGTTTCATCAGGAGGAACATACCAAGTGCTAATGGAGGTGTTTTCAGAGCACTCCTGTTTCACAGGTAACAGCCCGTCTCAGAACACCCTCCTTGTTTTCACCATTTTGGATTTTGCCCAACCCACTGGAGACCGGCTGGAGGAAGGAAGATTGAAGACTGTCCACGTTAATAAACGTCTGGTGGTTTGCTGAGTAATTTTTTTAAATTTTGAGCGTTTCAACCATAGACTGTATATACTATGAACAACTTGGTCTGCCTTCCGCCAGTATACGGATTTGAAGCCAAAAGCTCTTGGTAATTCTGCGTTTTCTCTCCATTTCCTGAAACCATCATTGCACAGTAGCATTGTGCGCATTCGGCGGGAGAGTTGCCAAGAGTTGCTCTGATGATGCTCAGCTCAAACAGCATATCCACTGGGTGAGCTAACCTATCCTTGTACGCCCATAGGCTGTATCAAGTGTCAATCACAGAAAACATGAACGGAGCTGTACAGAAAAAAAGAGGACTTAAGCACAAACCAGTCTTACAATAACTACATGTCAACATTGCAAGCAGGAAGGAGAAAAAATTGATGTTCTGTGTAATAAATTTCTTAAGTTTGTCCACAGCTCCACAAGCTTTGCCAGCGGAGGCGGGATTTATGACCTATACTGCAGCCCGTCACCAGAGGGTGCTGTTCTCGGAGTGGCTTCACCCAGCGAGGAGGCAGACGGCATCCATTCTATAAACAGTCTATGGTTTCAACTTTAATGTGAGTCCTCCTCTACCATCCATGTGAGCATAGTTTCACCCCGCCAAGCCGCGTTGCCCCCCGCCGCAGAAGGGTTTGCCGTCAGAGTCGGAAAAATCCCCCCATTAGTCGATTTTTGGTCGAAAACTTCAGGGTTTTACTCGACCAAAAATCTCTTTGATTGATTACAGCCCTGATATGGACCAAAACTATCTTTGTAAACACCAACACACAAACATCTCTGTGCACAGAATGTCATTCTCCCATGATGCTTAGTTCTCGTCCCTCCTGGCTGCTGAAATGTGATAATCTGCACTAACAGGAAACAAACAGGCCTGTGCGTCTCAGGTTGCTGTCTACTCTCTTTGTCATAGGCACAACAACACTGAGAAACAGACATCCGCCTGACCCCACTCCTTTTCACAGCACAGCTCCTGAGTCCTGTGTCACTTCTCGCTGAAGAACAGGTGCAGGAAAGAGACACCTTTACCATCTGTGAGGGAGACTGACAACAACAACAACAAAGGCTCAAAACATTGACGATCGAGGCTGAAATAATGTCAAAATATTCCAAAAGCCAAACAGGCTGTCAATCAACACATTTGTTATCCAAAAAGGAGGGTGACTGTGAGTCAACATGCAAATACGGTCGACAAACACAGGCTGCACAGAGCTTTGCACTTGTTTGGAGTCAATGCACGCACATACTCACTCTTATCAGGCTGCTAAAGTTTTCCAAAACTCGTTATTTCATCCACATAAAGGCACCCACATCCAAGATCCTCGCCCTCTAACCTCAGGTTGACCCCACCCATCCATAAAAAAAGAGCATGTCTCAATACTCCCGTTTCACTCTCACCCTAACCCCCTCCCAACAAAACAAACAAACATCTCAGTTTCAGCTGAAACTCAGAATTTAGGCCTATCATGATCACTCAGGGGAAGAAATCAGGATAATGTAAAGCCAGTGCAAAGTGAGGCGTTAAAACTCCCCCACTCAAGGCTCTAACACCAAAACATTCGCAAAAAAATGAAAAATAAGGATGTTGGCTTTTAAAAAGAAAGCAGACTGGTCATACAGTATGACGAAAGGCAGGGAAAGAGACAGCAAAGAAGACAGACAGACAGAGAGCAAATGGGAGAGGGAGTGAACAAATGTGGGAAGAGACGTCTGACAGATAGAGTGGTGGAGAAAAGAGCAATGATTGGAGCCATGTGCCCTTCCCTCTCTGCTCTCTCATCATCACTCACCCGTCCAGCTAACCCTCTGTGTCTTTCATCAGCCTGTCTGTGCGTCTGTCTGTCTCTCCTCAATAACAGCCCGCACTGAGTTAGGCTGCAGGCAGAAGTGGTTAGCAGCGCAGCCCAGCACTCTGAGCATGAGTCGGCCTGGCTCGTCTGTGTGACAAGGTGTTGGGCTGTCAACTGACGGCCTTTTTTGGTCAAGCTCACCAAAACTACAGCTGTCCATGAATGACAGCACAGTAAGGCTGAGAATGGATTTTTTTTCGTGTATGGGATTCCCAGTTTAGATGTGACTTATTGATAGTTTTAAGGCTTTAAAAAACACATCTAACATCTGCCTCTGATTGGACTCTTGTGGAAGACACCCACTCTCCACTTTTTTATCTGTTTATTGGCATTTCAGTTTGAACATAAACAAATCACATGTTGAATAAATGTAGATAATAAATCCCATGAGTCCCTCCCTCACCACCCCATGTCCCTGGATCCTCTAAAACAGTGGTTCTCAAGTCCAGTCCTCGAGCCCCCACTGTCCTGCATGTTTTGGATGTTTCCCTGCTCCAACACACCTGATTCAAATGATCAGCTCGTTATTAAGCCGTTACAGAGTTTGATAACGAGCTGATCATTTGAATCAGGTGTGTTGGAACAGGGAAACATCCAGAACATGCAGGACAGGGGGGCCTCGAGGACTGGACTTGAGAACCACTGAACTAAAAGGAGTATAAAGTGAGAAAGAAAATAAATAAATAAAAAGTAATATTAATAAGGATAATAATGAAGATAAATTACACTGTAAGTTATCTTGAACATACAATGGAAAGACAGAGTATTGAAAAAAAACAGGGTCCAGAAAGAGAAATACAAATTAAATAGAAAAAAAAATGAAGAAAAAAAAAATGAAAACGCAATATTCAAGATCAACACTGTTCACCAAATGTGCCGATTTAAGCACACACAGATTTAAGTATACTCATTTAACGAAGGTAGGGCTGTAGGCAGGTCGGGTCAGGAAGAATCCCAGTTTGAGATGGCAGTGAGGTTGTCAAAGTAAGTCAGAAAAGGCATCTAAACCTGATTAAATTTCTCCCTATTACCTCTCAGACTTAACTTAATCCTCTCAAATTAAAGATGAAACATGACATCCCTGATCCAGCTGGCATGGGACAGAGGTTTCTCTCCACTTATTTTTGTGTTTTTTTCACAAAGGAGGATAGAAAAAAATCCAGTCCATGCACAAACAATTATACAAAAAAGCACATATCTTCTTCTCAAGTATTCATATATTGCAAAAGACACTCTCTCACTGAAGATTTTTGCAGCCAAGTTTCAAACTATTTATTTCCTCGAGTCTTAAGCAGTGTTGGGGAACATTTGGAGGAATTAAACTTATCAGTGAAATTCCAAGGAAGGCAATAAACGCACTGTAGTGTCTCAACACCCAAGCCCTGAGGCTACATTAAGAGCATGCTTGCTGGGTGTGTAACGCACAAGAATGTGCGTGTGTGCAAGAGAAATCATGCAATGGTCAAAGGTTGCTTTTGCGTGTGTTCATGCAAAAGCTTGTATCTGTAAGTGGGTTTGCAGGCAGGCATGCCATTCAAGCCTATCTTTATTTGAGGTGGGTTCAGCTCAGAGTGATAACTGTGCTATCTCTGCAGCAACAGGAGTCCAAGGAACAATGGCAGGAGTAAAGGGCGCAAAGTACATGACATACTGCCTCTGACCTGAACCACAGGCAAGTACATAAACACACAGGAATACAACGAGCGTGGACAAATAGTTTCTCAAATTTAGCGGAGAAAATGAAACCCCGGTCCAGGCTGGACAAAGTTTACATAATACGTGAGACAGTGCTGTTGGAGGACAATGAACAGTGCTCAGAGAGGCTGTGTCCTCTGTGCCAGTCCGGTCCAGGTTGGCAGACGTACAAAAACACTCTAAGAGCCAGTAACGCTCTGGCACCGAGCAGCATGGACTCATCTGTACAGCAGAGACACCATTGTTGTTCTAGTTACACACTCTGCAGACAGTGTTGCCTCTTTTGTGGCCCCTGGCATCGCCGGGTCGGCTCGCCAGCTTTTTAGTGCCGTTCTGCTGTATCCACATGTTACCACTGATAAAGCTAATAAAAGGGAAAGCAGACATTTTCTCTTGTCCTCCCTCGCCTCATGTATCGCATTGTTAGTCCTCTTCTCTCCACATCGTCATCAGTGTCAGCACAGTTTATGCGCATAAAGACCGATGAGACCATAAACAAACAAGAGTCTTTAACAGGCCTGCAGTTAAGAACAAACAATAATTCATCGTAATGGTAGAAAATAAGCATTTTCCCCCTCAAAGTGGAGCTGCTGTTAATCTTTTGATGAATCACACGGGTATTCTCTGTCGCTTCTTTGTTGTACAGCAAGAAAAATGTCTCACTTATGTCTGCTTTCACAAGTCCTTCAAAAAGACTGAAATCACACCGTTAACAAGCTTTGTATGTGTTATCAAATAAACACATACAAATAAACTGATCAGCCATTATATAATGACCACCTGCTAAGTATTGCGTAGCCCCGCTCTTGTGGGGTCAGAGCCAAATCAGCCCTGACCTGACAAGACATGGACACCACTGGACCTCTGAGAGTATGCTGGCACCAAGACGATACCAGCAAATCCATTAAGTCCTGAACTTGTGAGGTGGAATCTCCATGGATCTGACTCGGTTGTCCAACACATCTGGTGCTGTCCAGCAAATTTGATCCGTGGATGCTCTACAGGACTGAGATCTGGGGAATTTGAAACCAAGTTCACGCTGTCTATTGTAGGCCTAAGGCTGCACAATTTTGGCCCAAAAAAAAAATCCAAATTTTTTTCTCTGAAAACTCAATTTTCGATTTCAGTTTTTTATTCAGTGACAACTTCACTGAACTTTATTTTAAAAATAAGTTTTTCTATCATCTCTCAAAACCAAACCACTAAAAATTATGTAGTCCATATGCCAAGCCATATGCACTACATAATTTTAACGCTGCTGAGGAAATGCACAAAAGACAGAAGAAGAGTATTGGACACACGCCGCCGCCATAAAAGAGTCACGCTGTATGTCACATAATCATTTCAGGAGATGCAGATAGGCATCCAATTGGAGATGAAATGGTAGTCACTTATGGAGTTATGCACTCTCTGGCCTATTTTCAAAAAGTACCATTTACAATCACCCAAAACGTTGTTACCGTGTGGACGAAACGCCAATGTGACAAAAAACTTTTGCATTTACTCCTACTCGGGTTGATCCCGCCTTCAGACAAACTTTGCAGTGGGGAGTATTTTGCTCTTCATCCAAAACTGCTAAGCCATACCACTTCCACATGACTAATTTGCTCTTGCCCTATTTAGCCATGAAATTATCACCTTCTTTTGCATAGCCCTGTTTGTTTACACTGGTGTGTGTGGGAACTGGGAAGCACTCTTGCAGGAAGGGGGAGTCTGTGGTGGCCTGGAGGCAAGAGACATGATAGAGAGGAAAATCGATTTGACGATTTGAATATTTTTTTTTTAACATCATCATAATCAAATGATCTGATTATGATTTAAAATCAATGAAATCATATAGCCCTATGTAGGCCCCGTTGGCCTTTATCACCAAGTCTTTCTTAGAAGTATTGCTCTGTTACATTTATGATCCTTTCCCATGTTCTTGCAGTTGTTCTGACCACTTGTTCAGGGTTCTTTCATAACTTTTTGTCCAACAGTATATTTTTACTCAAACACCTAATTTTACACAATCAGAAAGAACTCTTTCCAGGAGTTAGAGCTGCTTCAAGGATTCATCTGTGCTAATCACCATTTAGTCATCAATAAAAAAAGAGAAGACATTTAATGATCTGTTCTTGATTATATCTCTGACAGATCCTTGTCCAGATCTGTGATGAAGTAAGAGATACTTTTTTAAATTTTGCAAGAGCTATCGGCAGCTCCTTCTCCACCACAACTTTTATGTAAAAGCTATTATCAGCATAGATTCTGGGACTGTGGTCGGAGAGCAGGGAGAGGTCCACTTGGCACATGAAGAAAAGTAAACCAAGATCTGAGAGCTTGTACTGGATGACATTTAAACAAAATAACTTTGCAGAGTAAACTCAGGCAGAAGAGCTTTTGCTTTTAAAGTATGTGACAAGGCAGTAAAATGTAGGACAATAATAGAGTTGCTGCTGGATGGTTTAGTGTGTCTGGGAGGTGTTAACTAAACATCAAACAGCAGCCTATTCACTTTGTAGTGCATGCAAAACTTTTGAAGCTCTACTTTTACAAAGAAAACTGGGTTATGTGTGTTTTTGTTTGCGCCGCAAAGATGGAATTGAGTTTTTTATGCGGGCATTAGTGCATACATATGTCATAAAGTGTTTATTTTACTCTGACAGTGACTGTGCTGCTCCTTCCCCCTCAAAGCAGAGGGCCAGGCCGCTGCAGGCTCTTCAGACACATCGCTTGTTAATTAGACTGAACGGTTGCCTGGTTCCCCACTAACGCTGCTTCACTGAAGCTTCAACACACCTGATGAATAATGCATTTTTCACAGCACATTAATTTGGCTTTTTTTTTTTTTCTTTCTCAGAACAAAATCCAAATGCTTGTGACCGACCAACTCTTTGAAAATGTCCCTGTCCGCCTGTGTTTCTCCTCTATTGACATGCTAATGACTCAGCACGGAGGAATCAGAAACAGCACTAATAAGCTTTAGTCGTCATACTGGCATAGAGGGATCTGACGCTGCAGCCTTCCTCGGTTATAATGATTGGCTCGTCCAAGTGTGAAATACCAATGAGAGGGGATCAGCAGTTCATTAATACAGGGGACACCTTTGCCTCTAAGTGAAGGGCAAATATAAGCATTGATACCTCATATGTGAGAATGCAGACCTGCTAATAAAAGATTGCAAGCACAAACCGCACATCAACTGGACAAATAGACTCATTTACACCCCATGTGCATTCGCTCAACATACCAGCGGAGTAATCAGTGTGCATGTCTTACATGACTGAGGAAGGTTCAAAGGTTCACGTGGGTTAGTTCAGTGGATCTGAAGCAGATCTGGACTTGGTCCTTCACAGCCTGCCTTTCACCTGTGGCCGTCACTACCGTTACAGTCACACAGTGTAAAACAGCACTAAGTGTGAAATCCCAGTCATCATGAATCACCAGCAGCTCTCACACTCACAGATGGTAACCTTTGCCTGAACCACTAGGGAGAAGAAAATAGGAGGAAGTGTGAAAGAGATAATATTTATTTCATTTCAATTCTAAAAATGCTCCAAAAGTGGGTCATGTTTTTGTTATTCTACTTTGGAATCTGAAGAACTCTGACACACTCCTGAATATCTGTGAGACGGTAATGACACTCCTGTGCTCACAGGAGTTTACACAGGGCTGGCCACAATTAAACAACGCTCCATTATTCATCCAACTGGTTGACTTACTCATACCTGTTTTGTCATTCACTTGTTCAGTTCAGCCCCGGAAACGGAGCGGAGGCGAGTACATTGGAGACTAGGAATTTGTTCGCTGACTCATGGGTCCGCCCACAGAGCCAGCAGCCAGTGGCCGGAATGATAATGCAGGATTGCACATAGTCACTGTAAAGCCGGGCAGAGCTGGTCGTTGCTGAGAGCTCAGCTCAGGATGAGTGGTTTGGCTGCAGGCTGAGCCCAGCAAGCACAGGAGTTTGTATTGTCGGGTGAGCCAGGGAAGAAAGGTTTAAGACTGCTGATAGGCACCCACGTGTAATTACATACTGCCTGGCCTGACTCAGCAATGCTCGCCAGGGAAGAAGGACACTGCTCCGTTCCCAGCCAAACTCACACACAACAAACACACACACGTATGCATCATAAAAGCTTCATATAGATTGTACACAAATGCACGGTGTCAGTTACTTCCTGGTCAAATATTATAGTACGCGTAGCAGACAAGCTGCCTCCAACTTTAATGATGATGCTTAATTTTAGCAAAAGAAACATCCACGTGTAAAAGTGAACCCACTCATTTAAAGGATGCAATTTACGCAGTGCACGAGTGAAAATTAGTAGCTTTAAATTTAGAAGGACATGCTATTTTGAGATGCAGGTGCAAGACGGTTCTCAGCTTTTGCTTCCTGCTTTTCTGCACGCATGTGTCATTGAGGAGTCAGCGGTGCCACGGCCTCCAGTGTCACACGAATGGAGATCTCATTAGTAATTTAACGGGCGCTTCCTTGCCTGCTCATATCAATTATTCACTCCAGTTTTTCTTTTTTTTTTTTTAGGTTCTTTGACTTTTTATTTTTTGAGAAATCGGAAGTAAGGCCTTAATTGGTGGCAACAAAGCATCCAGCTGTACACTTTAACACGAGAAACTGTGTGTAATTTAATTTATATAGTTAAAACTATTGGCTGAAGAAGTTTTATAGGAAGGCTACTTTCTCAGTGAGTGAGACAGGTCTTGGTGTTTCATCACACTCTAATCCCATGCAATCCATGATGCAATATACACTTGCAGTCCTTATCCGAGCATAAGGGAATATTGCCATAAGCATGCCCAAGGAAACATTTACCCAATGTTTTGTTGCAAAGAAAAAGGCATCCAAGGACAGGTAAAGGGTCATGCGCTCACAGGTACACGACACAAGCTTAGTCTTGGGTAAGGCAGCCATCAATCAAGGGCGTACCAGGTGCACATTCTTGTCCAGAGTTGGAAAGATGGTATTACAAGAAAAACACATGCCCCCGACATAGAAAACAGGGATTCCTCGGCTAAATGAATGTTTTTCCCAGATGAAAGTGAAGGGTTCCACTCTGTCTCCTCCACAGACATCAAACTGAGGTCACAGACATTTCACGGGCAGATCAAAAACTACAACTATGGCTAATGGGATCCACTCGCCCCTGGTTTCTATTAGATTCCCCCTCTGAAACTAACATTGAGTTCCTGGCTAAGACATTCCTAGAAAAAAAATGTGAGGAAGTTTTGAGAGAAAGCCACAGGTTGTTCGGATTACGTCGTTACACCACTGCTAAGGTCACACTGAAACGCAAAACATCTCCACTCACACCCATCTAATATTTACCAAGGGAGTTCCAACATACATGGCCCTTGGAGAGAAGACACAGGTAAACACAGTCATGGAGCCAGAGAGAGTCAGCTGAGCAAGTTTATACGTCGTGTGAGTGTGTGAGTGTGTGTTTGTAGACCTTCAGGTAACCTATGGCAGCACCATCAAAAAAATCTGACTACTGGCAGATTAGATGTTGTCTTTTCTATCCATGCAAGAGATTCATCCCACAAAAATGCTGTTGTGTGCTCTGCGATAACATCCGCACTGAGGGGGTTCAAACGGACAAGCACTGTGGAATGTACGGTACGTCATCAAACTAGGAACAATGTTTTGACTTTAGTTAATAATCAAGCCTTTGTACTATGAACACTCTTCCTCTTCAAATCACTCGACTTGCCTTTGGGCAAAGTTTTATAGTCACATTCTGGATAAACAGCCTCTTAAAATATGTGAGACAACATTATTAACAGACACTGGAGCTGAACCAACAGGCTAGTTATAACAAAAATAGAAAAACAGTCGGACTCCAGGAAGACAAAGAAAGATATAAGAAGGAAAGTCGAAGGATATAAGTGAACATGTATAAGGAGGAACAAAGGGAGTACTCACAAAGGTGGTCAGGTAGAGTGCAGCTTGTCCCCACAGGCACCAGTGAGATATTTTAGAGTATGTTTGATATAAAAGCATGAAGGTGTGGCGGGCGTAGTGTCAAGAGCTGAATTTTTTGTCTCGTAGGGTGTGTTTGATGAGCTGAGAAGGGGATACAGTTATGCAAATGATGGTCTGCTTAATCTCTATCAACAGATCCTGCATATAAATACAGGATCTTTTAGTTGGTGAAAACGTCTGGTTTCAGAGGCAATCTGGTATCTGTTTGTGGTCTATGTAATTTTTCCCGCTTGTTTTGTTATTTTGTGTTGCTAACAAAGTGGGAAACAGAGGGTGGAGAATCCAAACCCCCATTACACAATCTTTGCTCGTATGGTGATCATCTGATGAGGATTGAAACTGATCTATGAAAACATGCATGTGCTGCTGCTAACAATCCGCTCTTTAGACGCTGGTTTTCAACTCCAACAACACACTAAAACGCTGGTTTTACAAAAAGCCCCCAAAAAGTTGGATGTCACCCCCAAGGCCTAATGTCTTCCATACACAAGAGGACTGAACACTCTTTGAAAAGACTTGGACAAGACTAATGTCTGACACCCTGTCACAACAAGTCACAGGGTTTAGTCGTATGCCAAGACTTGGGATCTCTCAAAGTCACCCATGATGATCTTATACTATAATCTGAGATCAGGAGGCTCACCTCAACTTTAGCCAAACTTTCATAAATCTATTTCAACTTCAGAAATTTGTCTGTAACTCCAATATTTGCATAAATGCTCATTAGATGACAGATGATGGGTTCTGAGGTTGAAAAAGTCGTTTTTGGTTTTTTTTTTCGTTTTTTTTTTTTTTTTTGCTAATACCAGAAACAAATCAAAATTGAATCCAAGTTTTGATGATGACTGGGGTGTAATAGAATGTGAGTGTGCACATTGGCACTGCATTTCGGAGCACACTTGCTGAGTATTAGTATTAGCAAGTTATTGGCGACCACACAGCCGAGGAAGTAAACCACTTAGTAGCCAATCCTTTTTGTTTTTAAAAAAAGGTTTTTGCAAAACCTTCAGAGCATCTCGTTTTTTGGCTGTGTTAGTGTTTTTTGCATGTTGCTAGTTTTGCAGGAGTGCATGTAGACTGGGTATTTATTTTAATTTATTGTTTTTATTGCTAGCTTCATTTGAACTTACTATTATTATTATTTTTTACTTGTTTACTTGTTACTTATTTATTTCTGGCTGTTCTTCTAAGTTATATTTAAAGTTAAGTTTTGGTGGTTCAATACTTACGTTTTGAAATCAATGAATAATTGTGTTTATTAATCGTGATTTCAATGTCAGTCAAAATAATCGTGATTATTATTTTTGCCATGATCGTCCAGCCCTATTCATATCTTTGTTGGTACCTGAAAAGCTCTAAAGGTTAAAAACCCTTTAACCTTTAAAGGCCTTTACTACACTCATTTGAAACACACCAAAAGGGAGGCAACAGTTTGTTAGTGTTGCATGTGGATCACAAGGTTTAGGGTGGGCCTTTAAATACGCTTGATTTATAGTTCAACGGGGAGGTGTCACTCACGACTCCTTCTCCCTGTCATTACTTTGAGGAGGAGCAGCGATCACTCCCATCACAGCAGCAGCAGGGGCAGGATGTGTTGACAGTCAAGATGAGTAAGGAAAAAGACAGAGGAACAGGGTGCAGATTTATGGCGGATTCCCAGTATCCCAGTAGCACCTTTGGGAGTTAGAAAGTATATCTATCTAAGCTGTCCTTCCTCTTCCACAAAGCTGCCTTTCACCCCTCTGACTTCAGATCACCAGGGTGATATTTGGCATGGATACACATGCATAAACACACAGCTTAATACTGACAACGCTTCTGCTGTTGGGTTTACACATAAGAGATAAGTCGGCTACCCCTCAGGAGGAACAAAGAGAGAGAAGAGAGGGGAGTGATGAAGGGGAGGCTGGAGAAGACGACACAAAGACGGGTGTTTGTTGAAGGGGGGATATTCAGACAGCAGACAGACGGACACAATACACCATGTCTGAGATCTGTCAAAGTAAAACCGGTCCACTTTTACAATGGTGATTGTTCACTTTTGTAGATATTATACCACAGTTTCAAAGAGGACCTGCTCTAGAGAGCGTATCCACCACATTACCTTGTTAACTTTGCCCCCATTTCACCTGGAGCAGTAAAGAGGATGCAGGCTGAACTCTGCCAAGACACACAAGCAACTCGGTACACTTTGCATCTTGGCACAGGGCCTGAGTCTGAGTCAAACCTCGCACCTTAAACTGTAGACAGGAAGGTAACTGGAGTCTGAGCCTGTCGCTTATCTACCCATCTCTATGGATGACAAAAGTTTCAGTTTTGGTCTCTTTGCAGCCGTGAAACATGGTGGTCTAGAACAAACACTGACACAAACGTTGCACATGCAATGCCAGGACTTAAGTCTTTGTTTGTAAGTAAGAACTTTTGAGTCAGGCTTACCAATTTTGTTGATCTTGGGTTATGAAGACCTTTTTTTAGGTGCTTTTCTGTCTCTCTAAAAGCCACTCCACCCATTATTTACACGTTTGAATCACTATATATTCTGTGTACCAATAGCTTAATTTTTCAGTAGTATACATGACAGAGAGGAGAAAAATGAATCATTTGAAACTTTAAAAAAGATTATAATAATATATTTGTTGAAATAAAATGGGGTTTTCCTTGCTGTATGAGAGCACTTCTGCCCCTGAAGTGCATTTTACAGTTGCTGCCTTTAACCCATGAACATTTGCTTGTTCTGCTCATAACGTGCTTGATCAAACACATCTACATCCCATGACAGCTCCAACGTCCAACCTCTCAGCGTGAGGGACGAGTCTGTCACATCCACCTGCCTCTCCCCTCTCCTGGCTGTTGATTTAGTATCGCCACGGCCTGAGGCAGACATTTTCTCTTTCTTGCTGGCGTCTTGACCCCCCTCCTGGCCCTGTCCGGGGCCCTTGGCTGAGGCACCACGTTATTTACTGCCCAGGGAGCTCTGTGCGCAGGGAGTCAACACTGCATGGCTGGTTGAACAAGGGAGGAACCTGCTGCTCAACCTCTCTCTCATACACACACATACAGAGATGCACACAAAAACACTCACACGGTCACATGACCATCCCAGGGGGGCTCTAGCAGAGATGTTTACCGTGGCACAATCATTCTACACAGTAGAACTGAGAGACAAACAGGCTGAGACGTTCGTAACTCCAGCAACTATAACCTGCCAGTAGTTTCAAACCAGTACAACAACAGGGCAGTGAATGCGAAGCTCTAAGTTTGATGATGTGACAGAGCAAACAGCCATGAAGGCTGCGGGGAGTTTAGTCTGACAGGACATGACAGCTTTCACCCAGGTGATCTTCACAGTCAGCTGGACTCAGTTGGGAACACGTCCTTAGGTGGCTCTGTGAGACATTCAGGGAGTGGATGTCTTTAGCATCTGACCTGTGTTTGTTTGATAAAATAAGACAGATTGAGACAAAGGATTGAAAAGCTGGTTTGTGACCAAATACATTCCTGTATGAGGTTGTAAGCTCTTGGAGTTGTCATGAAAAAAATTCCCTCAAGGCTGTTTTTCTCAAACCTCCACATGGGATGTAAAGACTTCGTTTGCACCAAGGCTTTTTGCAGCTATTAAACACATTAGCACACAGGTGTTTCAGAAAGGTTCATGTTTTAAGGTCTAAAAGCAGAAACGCAGTGAAATTCCTTCTCCACATTCCCTCCTTCCTCTCAGTAATTATAGTCTCCCAGCTGACAAACTACAGGTCCTGTTGTGTTTATCTTTGCCTCCATGGATACAACAGGTGACACACAGGCCTGGATACACCGGGCTCCATTCCAGTCCCTCACTGGTTCTACTACCTAGGTACATGTTAGTCCTCATGTTAGTCAAGGAGGTTGAGTCGAGGTACTATAAAGAATACTTTGCAATGAGGAAGGGAGATGTTCTCATTGCATCACTGAGCTGAGTAAGACATCCTGCGCAGGAAGAAAAATCTGAAGGGAAAAGTTTGCCATCGTAAACTTGGAGAAGATGATTTATTTAGATGAGTGCAGACGGTTTAATAAATTGAAAAGTGGGTTGACTTTGGATTGGAAACAGGGGTGTGTGAAGGCAGGTTTAGGGAGCTGGAGTGTGTGAGGGATGTGAATGCGTTGCGAGGAAGGACTGGATCAATCTTTTATCACTGCAGTGTGCTTTCATCCCTAATGGATCCGACATGAGCAGAGCGCAGCACTACCTTCCGTCACATTGCACAGGCAAGGGAGGAAGGACGCACGGAAAGAACAAGAGGGAACAGGAGGAGAGGTAGATGGAGAAACACATGTAAGGGGAAAAGAGAGAGAGAGAGAGAGACAAAGAGAGGGAGGAGAAAAAAAAAAAACACCGTCCCAAAAATAATCACAACTTAAAACATGCAAACATTTCACTCCGCCAACATGCTGCCATGGCGTTTCCAATTACTTCTGGCCCTGAGTGCATCTGCAGGAGTTGAGAAACAGACCTGATAAGGATGGTGGGAAATTAAGTCACTTCACAGCATGAGGAGGGACTTTGAATATTTCCATCAAGAGTCCCAGGAGATATCTCGGGTGTAGGGGTGGACTTGGTTATCATGCCATGCCAGCTGAGTGACAGACTGACACAAGACAGACAGACAGAAACAGAGAAAGACAGACAGATAACTCAAGAAGAAGAGAGGAGTCCATCTGTGTATTCATGCAGTGATAGAGCTGTAAAAATAACATTGCACAGAACAAGGCAGGATGACTCTCAGAGGAGGCTCGACTCTCTTTGTGCTGAACGGACTCATTCAAGTGATAGAAAAAAAAAGGAACTATCAAGGCAGGCAAGGAGATACAAAGACAAGGAGGGAGAAGACAGGTGCTAACTGAACAAGCAGGGAAGAAAGTTTCGAGGCTTGTAATGTGATGTGTTCAGACTGCTAGTTACCTTATCAGTGTGAAAACTGAGGACATTGAGCTATACCATCATCTCTGTCCTTTAAGCACCTGAACTTAGCATGGCCAACCTTTCACTTCTTTTCAGGTGATAAAAAATTACATTTAACACAACTAAGGGTCACAATGAGATCCTGGTTTTCAGAGCCAGTATCTATACCTCACTTTCAGAAGTGTTATAAAGCTGGACACAACAAGACACTGCTTTTAGTCGCTAGAAACCAGAGAATGGTCTCCATTTTTAATCAACTAATTATACTTTAAGAAACCTGAAGGATTAATTTCAGTGCCTTCAAAGGTTGTATCCAGTCATTAATTCCAACTTGAACTTTTGCCACAAAATAATTAACAGTGCATCCATTCTTAGGTTTCCACTAATGCATCAGAAATAAAACGACTTGCAGCTAACTGGTTACTTGTCTACTCATACTCACTTTCATTTATCTTAAACCAAACACATTATCAAATCATAAAAAATGCCAATTTCGGGGGGGTAGGTTGTAGGGATGGACAATACATTATCGCTCATGATAAATGGTCAGAAAAATCCTCCATGATAAACATTGCCATCTCATGATTAACATGATAAATGCAAGTTGATGACGTATAAGCACGAACGATGAACTCGCAGCCATAGCCCACATAGAGCAGAATAACAAACAAACATGGCTTAACATAATGAAGAAGACGTTTCTGAACAGCAGCTGTTACTGACTGAGGCTCCACATGAGGGATTTCTTCAAGATTGGGGCTCAGATGAGAGCAATCAGGTATGCCTGACATTGGACAATGGATCTGCTGCTGCTGTTCACTGTGCGATAAGAGTTTTCAATAAATGTTGAAAATGTTTTCACATTTGAGACTTGTCTGATGTCATTAGTTTTCTCCATAACCTACCACTCAAACTTGTGGTTAAGTATCTTATTTGATGTGTTCACAAGACAGAATGCGTCAAAAACATAGATCGGAATTATAATATTTTTTATCTGGACTTTTATCGTTATCGCCAGAATGGCAAATCTTATCGTGATAAATGTTTTAGCCCATATCGCCCATCCCTAGAGGGTTGTATGTTTGGGTTAAATAAGCCATCTCTAAGGCTGGGCAATTCAACCTAAACTAATTAAAACTGACACTCAGAACCTCTTCCAGATATAATCTTGTAAATCACAACCATTTTTACCAAAAACACCTTTTTTAAAAATTCTGTTACTACTTTCCACATTGTGCATTCATGTGTTAACCCCTTAAAAACACGCTACAACATTTATAATCAAATGAATCTGCCTCATCCAATCCACGTCATAGCAGCAACACAGCGGAGAGCTTAAACCCTGAGCCAATGAAGCAACTTGTGACAAAGAAAAGGGCTGCATTTGTTATCTGGACACATTTTGACTTTGATAAAGATGACACTGAACAAACAAAAGTCAAATTAAACAAAGCAGGAAAACAGTTTTAGTACCCTTAGGTCAGTGGTTCTCAAGTCCAGTCCTCGAGCCCCACTGTCCTGCATGTTTTGGATGTTTCCCTGCTCCAACACACCTGATTCAAATGATCAGCTCGTTATTAAGCTCTGTAATAACGAGCTGATCATTTGAATCAGGTGTGTTGGAGCAGGGAAACATCCAAAACATGCAGGACAGTGGGGCTCGAGGACTGGATTGAGAACCGCTGCCTTAGGTGATACAATCCTACGTGGGTGGTTATCTGAATATCAACACTGCATGGCCCAAAAAAAAAAGAAAGACTGACAAGTGTCCAGCTACAAGTGTTTTTTACAAAGCAGCCGTTAATAACATAAACACAACATGAAATAAGGGGGATCCTGTCCTATTAGTCTAAAATCATAAGATGCACGCTTTTGGTAGAAAAATTTCCTGGTTTTTACAGCTGAGCATATCTACAGTACAAATTTTAACTTTGAACAATTAAAGCAAAATACATGGACAAAATTATACAGAGCCCAACACCCAATTATTACAGTCACGCTCTAAACAGATAAATGGGCAAATGTCAATATATGCAAATGTGCTTCAACAAGCATTACCTAGTGCAGATAAACATGTGACAGTCAAAAACAGGTGACATTATATTCAAAAACAGGAGCTATGACAGCCATGTTGAATCATTATTTATGCTGGAGTCAAATTTGTTCTCCCACCTACGACCATCTGGTGTATTATCTCTGTGAAACCAAGTTCACACTGTGGCACATGTAAACACTAAACAGAGATAATGCTTGAGGTCTTACTGTGCAACTCCCACAGTCTGTCAGGAGAAAAAAATAATCAGCTCCCAGGGGGTGACGGGTTGGAGGGGTTCCCAATCGATGGACCTGATTGGATAACAAATTCAGCCTGCTAATGAGCTCCAAGTCCCACTATCTGACACAAGCCATGCTGGGAAATGTTAAATAAGATGCAATCCGAGCATAATGATGAGTCAATGTTTAAATGGGCTTAAAAGTGGTTTGCTGCAGTGTGCTCACACAGTGTTGGCATTTTAACAGTTAAACGCTGTAGAAACATGCAGAGTGAGCTGAACTCTGTCCACGCTCTCCATGAATTAATCTACTGGGGTAAAAGGAGCAGTCCGTGTGTGAGAGATATAGTCTGCACTTTCCTCAATCTCTCAACAAAGTATCTACTAAAATACACAAACACACAAAGAGGCACAAGTTCATTAGCTAACACCAGAGATACTTTACTCACATTTTAGAAAATGCAAAAAGAAAGAGAAAGAACCTGGAGTGAAGTTTCACCCAAACAGGTTTGGGTCCTTTTGTTCCATACAGGAGGATACTTGGGTGGCGGGTCTTGTGTCAACAGGTACATGTGAAGACTCAGCTCAGCTCCCCAAAGACAAAACATAAAATTGCTTCTCTGCCACAGACGAGAATAAACACACCCAAGTTCACACTTACTGATTAAAGTCCAATAGCTGTCTTCATGTGCATGCTGTAACACAGCACTTCACAGAAACTTCCCCACACTGTCATTCAACCCGGCAAGGACACATTCAAACAATCCCTGAAAGACGCTCTTACACTCACCCAGAGAGAGGATTTATCCTTTTCTTCAGTGGTTTTAATTCTCTCGGTCTCCTCTCCACACTTAGGGGGGGAAATCCTTCACTTTTGTCAGAGCAGCAGAGCCGGTTGTGCGGCTGGTGTGCTCGAGAGGCAGCAAATGAGAAAGTGAGAGAGAGTGTGTAAGGAGCGTGCGGGTCCAGCAGAGGTCAGAGGCAGTCGGACGTGGTCAGCGGAGAAATTTAGAGGATGTCGTGACGTCTCCGCTCTATTTCGCTGTGCTCTTCTCGCTTGCTGCCTCAGGAATGCACTTCTTCTGGGTGTCCTCTCCAAAGCCAAGATCTGAGACTGCTGGAGTCCTCTCTCTCTCTCTCTCTGCTTGTCTCAACCCCTCCTCCTTCTCTCTCTGTCTCTCACCCACACAGAAACACACCCTCTCAGTCACTCCTCGCTCTCACTCTGTCTTTCTCTCTCTCTCTTTCTCTCCACCCGTCCTCGCTGTGCTGACAGATCAGGTACCTCCTCCTTTTCAGGTAGTTGATAACGTGTCTTTTCAGCTTTGTCACCCTCTCTTCGTATCAGTTTTCGCTGTTACTCCTTTTGTATTCTACGATCTCCTCACACACAAAGGACTGCTTGTATTGAAACTCAGAGATAAGAGCAGATACACTTGAAACTCTCTGTATATGAATTTCCATATGAGGCTCTTGTGTTTGTACGATCTATAACCTGAGGCATTAGACATCCACCCCCTGGCCTCAGGTCACATGTACAGCTGGTTACCCAAATGAGTCTGTCAGGTGATTTTCTCTTCCTTTTCCTGGAATGAGGTCATAGTCCAGCAGACCAGGTGCAATCAGAGAGACAGCATGTGTGTCTGTGTTTAAGTTGGACAACGCCCTGTGGGAAAATGACCGAATAACACTATCTAAATCTGACCACTCTGTTGCAGAGAGTGAGACATGTCCCAAACAAAAGCCTGATCGGGTATCAGTAAAGAAACACTGTTAGGGTCCTGAAATGTGTTACTTTCTTCACACACTAATGCAAAGGGAAGGTATGTGTGTGTGACCCCTCTTATTTTACTTATACCTCCTCTTTTTTTCCATCTTATCTCTACAAACTCACATTTGAATCACAAACAGAGCTTTTGACTTTTTCCTCTTATCTCGAGTGTGAAACCAAGCTACTGGTAGAGAAGATCCACGCTGAGAATATGTCAATAAATCAAGAAAAATGTGGCCTAAAGACCATTATAGGTGATAATGGTTAAACTGCACATATAAACGTGCAAGAAGACCTATTGTGCTGATCTTTATTTTAATTCATACATTAAGTATGATGTCACACTGTTGGGTGTCCATGCTGCACCTGGTGGTATAATCCCCAGATTATGAACAGCTTATTTTTGAGATGTGGTTACAACCTGATGTCAGGCTCCTTCCTCGTCTTTTCCCTCCTTTCTACACTTAGTTGATTGAGCATGTCTCGGCAAGTCGCTTCTGGTAGCGAAGAACAGTCACCGCTGCTTCCTCTTACCAAAGACCAAGACACCAGAAAACAGAGGGAAGTTTTGATTTTTTGGGGGGACTTTTTTAATGACTCCTCTGTAAACAAAGACTGGGTTAACATCTCAATTATTACTGAACCCTGAGGGAGTTCTGTCTATTAAGACCTTCTATGATGGCACAAAACCACAAATTGTTGGGAGTGCAGATATTGTAACAGCAGCTAATAGATCTAATTGGAAGCTTACAGCTATGGTGTCATGACTTCAAAGATGTGTGAAAAGTAAAGTAACTACCACAAGCTGTGTCTCACTTGATGTTATGGGAGAAGAGGCCACAATGGATTGTTTGTGGCACAGGCGGAATAGTGCTGGAACAAGGGTTTCCCAGGTGCCATTAAAAAGATCAATAAGGAGATTTTGGAGCTGCAAATCATGCAAAGCTATTCTATCAGAAGGGCTGCACGATTAATCAATTTTAAATTGTAATCAGCTTATTTGATTACGACAAAGTTAAAATCGTCAAATCGATTTTCCGCTCTATCATGTCTTGCGCCTCCAGGCCACCGTAGGCTCCTTCTTCCTGTGAGAGCGCTCCCCAGCTCCCACAAACACCAGTGTAAACACACATGGCATTTGCATAAGAAGGCGATAACTTTGTGGCTAAATAAGACAAAGTCAGTTGTATGGAATTGGTTGGGCTTCACAGTTCAGGATAAAGAGCAAACCACTTCTCGCTGCAAAGTCTGTCTAAAGACAGTAACAACACGTCCACATGGATAAAAAATTGAGGAGTAAACGCAAAAGTTTTTTGTTGCATTGGCGTTTCATCCACACGGAAATGGCATTTCGGGTGATTGTAAACTGTACTTTTTGAAAATGGGTCCATAAACGAATACCATTTCATCTCCATGTGGATGCGTATCTGCATCTCTCAAAAGGATTATGTTACACACAGCGTAACTCTTTTATGGCGCCTGTACATGTCCGGCCAAAATAACCTTAATATACATGGTCTGTACTTCTGTCTTCTGTGCATTTCCTCAGCACTAGCTGCGTTTCCATTACCCATAGATTTGCGCAAAACCTAAATATTGCAATAGAAAACTGGTAATGGAAACACCAAAATTTCAAAAAACCTCTCAAATATCGCTAAAAAGTTTTTAAGCTCTCATGAGGTGTTTTTTTTAGACGTGTCAATATAGAAGTTTATCGCAAAAGTGTAATGGAAACACTATTCTCGCAATTCTACGTCACCGGACGTGACGTAGCGGGTCATGTGATCATGCTTCCGAGTGGGAACTGCCTCCCGGGGGCTTGACATGGCGGGTGCCACAAGAGGCTCAATAGCATCACAGTTCATTGAACGTATTCCGGGTCATCCTAAGGTTTTGAATCCACAATTCTTCTGTGAATTCCTCATAAATGATCCTCTCCCAGAAATCCCTCATCTGTGTCCACTCCCATACATACGGGCTTTGCCTTTGAATTATCACCCGCTGCCTTCGTCTTCTAATGACAGCAGCGGCAACAGCAGTAATGGTCACAGAAATAGCTGCTCCAAAATGTAAAATGTTTTGTATCTCCTCCATGTTGGTGTGCAAAAAGGCTTAAGGAATACAAGGTCGCAAGAGAAGGAAGTTTACCTCGTTGCTGGGCAATGGCCATTCAAACATGGCTCGCGAGAGGCAAACGGCTCGCTTATGCACTGAACACCATTCAATGGAAACACCCGCAAATCGCAATTGTACTTTGTCGAAATTTGATAAACATCGCTTTTAATTTGCGAAAAAATGTAATGGAAACGCAGCTACTGTTACAGTGCCACTTACTGGCTTGGCATATGCACTACATAGTTTTCATTGGTTTCAAAATATTTGTGGTCAAAATCGTGCAGCCCTATCTATAGGTATCCGAGACTGATGAGATGAAATCTGGAAATGAGTATAATAGGTCTTCTTTAACACAAATGTCTGTCGGCAGCTATAACCGCACAATTACAGTGCATCTTCCGGGCCGTCAGGAAGTGAATCAAACAAGCTTGTGTGTAAAATAAACCATGACAGAGCAGTTAATAATGCACAGATGTGTTTATTAAAGCACCTGCACCTATCATCCTCTCTAACACTTCATTATTTAAGATAATACAGAGTCAGTATTTCAGAGTTTTAAAATGTAGTGACAATATTTCCTCAGGTTTTTATTTTCTTACATAATCACTTAGCATCAGGCATGGTTTTGAAAAGTTTGCCCTAATTTACGAAGAACCTGATGACCCAGATATGTTCTGAGCAAGAAATTTTACAGCTGAAAAATACGCAGTAATTGGTGCACAAACAGTGAAATCATGTCTAAACTCCATCCCAGGCATTCCAGTATTGCTTTATCTGTATCGGTATTACTTCTCAGTCAAAGTTTATGCCAATGCTGAGACATCTGTGACAAATAACATCAGCTGATACATCAGTTTGGTCAACTGGGTTTATATCCAACCCAAAGTTACACACACTGGAAATGCAGCTTTTACTGGCTTGCTAAAATCTCTTGCATTTTTCAAGGACAAGAGACAAAACTGACACAAATCATCAATTGTTTTATAACTCTGTTGCAAAAAGTTCAAAAGGGCATTTGAAAATATTTCTAAAATAGTCAGACACAAGGGAGGATTAGACTTAAAGCCGTCTGAATCTACTTTTGACAGCAACATCAATGAATATTTTATTGAAAAGGGAACTTTTTACTTCCTACAACACAAAGCCATTGTAGCAATAAAACAAAGTTTGTATGACTCAGTCAGCTGCGGCAGACTATCGCCAGTACCGCCTTCATTCTATGTTTACTTTGCCTTTATCCTGCGTCATATTGCTGTCCAAACAAACTAATGAGAGCACGCAGTCACAAGACCTAATAACCAGTGTGCACATTGTATAAAACAGATGCCCCGAAAATAAACGTCTTGCACTAATTGTGTTAATTCGATGAATTGAATCATGCAAACAAAAGACCACAGCCAAGAATGCCGTAGCTTTTAGCGGGGCTGAGTCACAGAGGCCCACAGAGAGTCACGGCACATCTCTGTGTACTGCCTCACTGTTCTGACCATGAAGCAAAGCTTTTGGCACATCTAAAAGCTGTGTTTGTCTGACAAATCACTTAAAATTGTCTCAGTGGGGAGGGAACCTCCGGAGGCAGTGCTTAGGTACTAAAGGCCACAGTGAGAAAAGGCTGAGGTGCTGAGGAGGAGTGACATTTTAAAAGCACCGGAGAAGTAAGTACACTTTATGACTTCTGACAGGCTAATACCCTTCAGTGGATCATGTGCTTGTCCATCGTCAGACTCGATCCAGGTTCATTTAAGGGCTATTTTTTGTAAGGCCTGCTTAAGTAAAGGTTGACATGAGGCGAGTCCTACTTATTGGTCTAAGGGTCTTAAGATAGGAAGAGAACAGAGCTGAAATCGGAGCGGTGGGTGGGGGTATTGTGATGCGCTGTGGAGGATTATCAGTCCAAAGCCTCCCGGACTTCTCTGACACCTTCCAGGCATTCCTCAGGGCACCTCCCATTGCTGCGCCTCCCTCATCCCACCCTCCCCTGTCAAACCCCACATATCATCCCTCTTTTTCTTCGTGACTCAAGCATTCTTGCACCCCCCTTTTCTCTTCCTCATCCAACACTCCCTCTGCTTTGAGCAAAGGAGCTAAAGAAAACAAAAACGGGGCCTAAAACCTGTGCTTTCAGTGGAAATCCTGGAAACGTGGAAACGTTTTGTTCGACTTTTCCACTTTAGGCTGAAAATGCACTATGCTCTGCACACCACATTGCTATCTGACTGCTTTCAGTCAACACCGACCTTAGAGTTAATATCTCAACAAGTGATAGGAGGTGTAAATTTGTTCAAAGAGCAGAGAGTCAGCCATAACTCAGCTCAGAGGAGACATGAAGATGGCTCTCAGGCAGAGAAATGGACTGGTTGGGTCTGGCAGCAGTTCAATAGGTTCTGTGGAGGGGAGAAGAGTGAGGGGAATACATGCTGATAGTGTCTTTGTCGGCCATTATTCACACCCAATGAATAGCATTAAGTTGCTGCTACGGCTCACCCCTTCCAGCCTTCTCTCTGGAAAACCCCCACCCCCACTCCCACCCCCTTCTCTCTTAATTCATTCAGACTTTCACCAAAAACAGTCTTCAACAGGTGGACAACAGGTTGCACAAGACCAGCCTGGATAACACATTAAATCACAGCAATCTATTTTCAGAGGCACAAAACAACTTGCAAAACCTTCAACTTTTGTTGACATCGGTCGCCATACTCATGGCGAGGTAGTAAAGCCCTGTTTGTGCCAAACATGCCTAAGTATAGCCCCGCTGTCTCATTATGGTCAGGCCAGTGCTGTTGCACCAGAAGTGAAGCTACGTCTCGTCTATCATTATGACAGTGGAGATGGCTTCCCCCAGTGAAGGTAATTGCACTGTTGAGATGTAAACACAGAACATCCAGTTCCAAAGCAGACAAGGACTTTTGTTTTCTTCCCAGAAACCTGACTCGCATTGTGAGTCATGTTTTGGAAGCAAATGCAAGGCCCTATATCATGTCTATTTAAAAAACAATAGTTGTATTGAAAATATAACAACAAGGTGAACTTGAGGACAAGGAGATAACAGAGGAGAGCAAAGTGGAAACGAGAGAAAGTGAGTGAATTGGATCAAGATAAAGACTGTCGGTACATAAACAATCTTTGCATTCCTTCAAACACAGGATAGAAAAGAAGAATAAAAACATACAGCCTGCCCCCCCCCCCTATCTGCTCACTCTTTAGACCTCACTAATTCAGCACGTAAGAGCATCTCTGTTGGCTTTTAGCAGTTTCCAAGTTGTCAGAAGTTTGGCCACACTCCGGCACCCTCTCCTCCATCCTCTCTTTTTCTCCCTTGTTATTCAGTACCAGCCCAGACTGGTTCAGGACTAAACTGAAAAAAATGCGGCTACCTCCCACATGGCATCATGTTGCATTTTTTTTTTTATAAGGGCTGTAAACTATTTTTAGAGGTGAAACTAATCTGGAGAAAAATTGTATGATGGTGCATTCTTTCAACTAGAGCCTTGTAGTTGTTTATTTTTCAGTCCTTTAATCTCAGCCCGTTTGTTTCATCCTACTTCTAGATGTGTAATCAGTCGCTGTGAGATCCAGCTATACCTGAGTCAAACTCTGCAGCCTGATGCTGCTTTAAACTCAAATATGCTACAATCTCTGGGTCGGTTCTGAAAGACATCTAAAACAGCCCATCAAGCTTTAACTTCTACTCAGAACAGGAAAGGATGTCAATGTGGGGCCTGCAAAACCACCTCTGCCTCATCCCTTTTCTCTGTACCTCTTCTATGCAAGAAGTGCAAATGAGCAGAGACACAAAAAAGACCCTGCTTTTAGAGACCCCCTGTACTAAGCATGAAGACAGGTTAAAGTCAGTTCATGAGAGACAGTTAAAAAATGGATCAGATGAAAACCAAGTCAACAGGAGAGGGAACTCTCTGCCTGTGACTTGTCTTATTTGATGTAATAATTATGAGTCTTATGTCTATGGGTGAATAAGGACAGAAGCAGCAGGTAAGAAACTATCTGTTGCACGGTAAGTGTTTACCACACACACACCCATAATACCTGGGAAGCTGGGCAGCTGAGGGCACTACCAGAGAACCATAATTCTGATGCGCATCATATCATATTTTCGAGACCCACTTCAATGAAAATCATGTTTTTCTTGTTGTCTACATGTTCATATGGCATTTTTCTGATGCTACAGGACATATCATGAGAAAACCAAGTGCAGAATTGCATTTCTGAATATTTCTGCATTCAAATCACTGTGAATCTCTGGCAGACACAGTGAGATTTCCTATGTAGCAAATCCAAGCTCCGCCCCAAGAGCCCGGCTATGCAGGCCAGACTCAGAGAAGTAGAGAGGATAATCGCAGAACAAGCGTGTGCGTTAGCAGATTGCAACGCTAGTAAGAAAGCTAATTATGATATTTGCTTTCATCGTGTCCCCAAAGACATTGGTGTCCGAGAGCTGAAAAGCTCCTATGTTACCTGCCACTTCGACTACATTGGAAATGTTAGGCTACAAGCTAGCATGAAGAGGAGTGTGCAGAGCAGCGCTGTCTCCACCCTCGACTCAGAGGTGAATTGCTTATGATCTACTGGAGCTGTGCAGTAGAAAAAGCCTTGAAAATGACACAGGTAATGTGATTTTGGTTAAAAACTTCACATCATCACAATTTAAAGACCACTGAGAACACTTGAAGTAGTCAAAAAAAAAACGATCAGAGTGGGACTTAAAGTGTATTACTACATCGCTAGAATTTATTGACCACTTAACTTCTTTTCTGAAGGAGATTACCATCGTCTTTCAATGAAAAGTAGTTGGTCTCTCTCTCTCTCTCTCTCTCTACTACTTATGTACTTATTTTAATGAAAGCCTGTTTAATTGAGGAGTGCTGATACCATAAACCTTTTTACAAGTTATTGTTCTTTAAGTTGGGCTCAATTACTTCCACATCTTCACAATAAGGCAGAAGTACTTTTAGGGTCTTTCCAAAATAAAAGCACATTTGTTTTCAAAAGAGGGAACAGAGAAGCCAGTGTAAGGGAGTTAAAAGGCATAATAAACAAATAACATCCTTATGAGGCATGCACTTCTCTAAAGCTTGAGTATAAACCAAAAGAAAAAGAATCACAAATCCAGCATCGTGAACTGTATCACATCATAAGATGAAGATTTTGTTGAATCCTTTTCCTCTATACGAGATACAAGTGCCAACTCAGATGTAAATTTCATATAGGCAACCCACTGTGAGAGTGGGAAAATACAGATCAAACGTAAGCGAAGAAGAGATACTGGCTTGTATAGGCGCTGCAAATGCTGGTTTAATGATCATCTCTGTAAAAACTGAAGAATTTGAAGGGGGAGGCTGAACTCATGGGAAATGCGAGTCAGGTGGGAGCGGGTCAGGGGTCAGAGGTGAACAAAAGCTATGTAAGCCCCACACAGAGCGAGTCAAAGGCTCCCCGGATGCACTCACAGATGTCCAGCCTGTCTGTCTACTCCTATTTTCTCCACACCTTTGCCTGTAATGTGCTTGTCAGACACAGTTTTCTTCCATCTTTGTCTCGTCGAAATGCTTTTCACCCTTTTTAGAGCCGAAGATGCCCTCCTCACTTTTTTATCCATTTATTCAAAACACTGTTTACACCACCAATCTATTACACAGAATGTGTGTGTGTGGGAAAGGACTATCCAAACACCTGCGGGAACAACAGCTCTTAAAAGCTTTCACCGCACCGGGCCTGTCATCTCTCTCCTTCTGTGGCTTTACTGGATCAAAGGAAAAGCTGTAGCTGTGTCATAGCGTGAAGGTCTTTTGTTGCTACAATCATGCACTTCACTCACACAAACAGAAAATATATGCCTGCATGCACACATACGCATTGAGATAGGATGACACTAGGACACAATAGATTTGAATCTGTCAAATCATGCCGTCCTAAAAGGAGACATTAAAGATTAAAGCAGAGTCTATATGCAAAATGATTTCCCAGAACTTCAAGTACAGGCACTTGAAGACCTTTTGAATTTTAACAAGGCCAGTGAGACTGCCATCACCATCTTCATCAGGCTGGAGGAGGGTCTGAGTGTGTGTGGAGTGGGCATGTGCATGGAGCTGAATTAATGATGTGTGTGTGTTGGTGGATATGCCAGATTACTAATCAGAGCTAAGACAAAGGCCATATGTGTGCGAGTCTGTACATCCCGCCCACGTATCTCCCACGTACTACCCTCAACGTCTGCTTAAAACTCTATCAGCAGGAATGTCAGGATTGTTGGGTCAGCAGTGGTGACATCATGGCAGCCCGTCAGAAGCAACAACAAGGCCTCAGCGCCAGTTTCCTCCTGGTTGCATCAGCTGCGCCGTACCAGGCTGTGGCTCCATGACACCCACTCCAGCCCTGCTTTCTGCTGGGTGTTATGAGTCCCAAAATATTCAATACAGAAAAGAAATCGATATGAAAAACCCTCCATGCCCACACAAAAGGTCTGACACTATCTGACCGTGCAGGATTTTCTGCAAGTGGGTAGTAAGTGGTCGAGGTTGTGGCCTTTGATGCTGTCAAAATTGCTCCAAAATGACATTTGAATATTCATTCTAAAAATAACACATAGGTTCGAACATATTCGAATATCTATATTCGCGCCTCATGCCAATAGGAGGACAACTAATAAAACAGGAAAACAGGAGAAACTAATACAAGACATAAGTACTTGTACAGGTTTTTTGTTTTTTTTTCAGTTTTAACATCTTTCAACACAGCTTGCATATAACTTTTTCTCGCTCAGTGTTTTTTCCGTCTACCATGTCTACCCAAAATCTGAAGAATTTCCAAACAGAGCTTCTGAAGTTCATTGGAGTCCAGACCACTACCCGGGATTTCCACTGCATCCCGAACGCCTCCGATCCGGAAGGGCAGGGATTTTCGCCGTAGGCTAATTCCTACCGGATCCGTTTGTGAGGCGGATTTCGTGGCGGATTTTGGACCGCAGGAATCGCGAGAACTAACAAGAACCCGCGGATTCACATGCAATCATGCAATATCAAGTTGTCTTTAGCCACATAGGCTAAGCAGTAGATTGTGTCCTTCCAGAGGAGGAATTCTACTTCAAGACTTTTAAAATCAACATCCCCTCATCCATGATGTTCTCAGGATGAAATGCTTTCTATAAACCTTTCACTTGTTCGTTCCCACCCATTTGCACGGTGTGAAATATGATCCGCCTGAAACACAGAGTGTTTTATTTTGAAAAGAGGATGGATGTTTTATTTTGTGTCTGTGCCCGACTTACTTCCCAGCACAGGTTAATCTGTGCTGAATTTATCCGGCATGCTTTGGCGTCCTGAAAAAAATAGAGCTCTGGCAATCAGCTGCAGAGTCTGGCAATCTGCAGCAGAACGGAAAGAAGCCGGTGGAAATTGACACATTAACTTGAATGGTTACGATTAGCTACAATCGGTGGATACGGCCTTTTCGTAGCCGTTCCGGATGCTGTGGAAATTGCTGGTCAGAGTTTTGCTCCGAACATCCCTCCATCTCTCTCTGCATGTGCCACGGACGTTTTTTGTCGAGTCTCACTGCAGGTGCAGCTCCTGTGACCTGTCCCTGACCCATCGTTACAGTGCGCTGACTTACAAAGCAGCCCGTTTTTTTGGTTTGTTTGTTTTTTCCACTCAGTTCTTTTGCTCACTGTTTTTTTAACATTCAAATATGAATTTTCACATTCGTTCTCATTTTCTTTTAAATATTCAAGTTCGAATTTAGAATATTTGTTGACAGCCTTGGGGATAAGTTTGTTCTTGTTCTTACACTAAATACACACTTGAATGAGACACCAGACTCTTTACCTGCTCCAGGTGATCCCAGGTCAACATGGACATTAATGGCTTTGGTGTTTACAAAGAGACACAAGTTTCTTGCCTCAGGGGGAGTACTTGCTGAAAAAGTTTGCACTGACACGTGAAGTCCTTTTAGTCTTTATTTGCTTTCTGCAGTTACATAAGCAGCAAAGAACATGACATCCAATCAGCCGAGCATGTGCATCGAAACTACTCAGAGTAAAACAAGTCACTTCTCTTCTTCCTTTCATGTGTCTGTTGCTGTCTATGTGAGGGGTCAAGTGTCAGCAAACAGATGCTAGTGTGTGTTTGGGAGCTTCAGCAGAGCATCCTTCAGGTCATCAGATAAAGTGCACCTGAGGGAGGGGCAGGGAGCCCGCTTTCAATGTTTCCACGGTAACCGAATACAGACGCAACCACCTGGTTGGCAGAGCCCAAGAAGAAAGGGGAAGCAAAGAGGGCACCACTTCAGGACGGTAACCATGCCAGAAAATCCTCACTAAGTGGGCCGATTCCCAAACACAACCCCGTATTGTGCTTGCACCATGACGAGAAGAGGGGCAGAGAGCGCACACAGCTGTTCAATCTTTCATAGAGCATAAAATAAAAGTACCCAGACTGTACAGTCCTCATTACAGCTGAGGAAAACCTTCACTGCTGACTCTGGGTATTTAAAAAGCCATGCAAAGCCAACAGGGGTTGGTTTTCTTACTTTGAGTGTCACCATGACAAATATATTCAAGGGTTCGACACAAACATCCCCAAAATACGCAAAGCACTTACAATGACTCTAGGATGCTGAAAAATATCACTTAATAATTCATTTTTAGTTCATATCTTTAATTTAAAACATACTGCCACAGTGTTGAACACAAGTTTTCCTCAGTATGTCAAATAGTGTTGTGCTTAAGAGTAACACAGCTGATAAAAGCATCTCTAAATGAGTAAAGTCATACCTAATTCAAACTTAATAACCACAAGTAGGTGTTAAATCAGTGACTAACTGCTCCTCTTGACTTCTTTTTTTTCTTTTTGGAGAGCTACAAATAAGTTTAGACATGTGCTGAACTAGAGAAGACACAAAACTTAGTGGAAAACTGCTGAAACACCACAAACAAGGCCGTTTGTTTTACTCACCTCCTGCAGTCAAATGGTCCCTGTGATTGCCTGTCTGATGAAAAAGGAGAAGAGTGAGAGAAGGAGGAAGAGCTACACAACCCTGTCACTGTCTGTGTGTGTCGTGCTACCTGATCTAGCACAGCCTGTGGAAGAGACAGAACAACAGGGAGAGTAATGCAGAGGGGAAGGGAGGAGGAGGAGGAGGAGGGGGGCAGCCGCAGAGAAAAGTGAAGTGGTGCCGCCATTCTCCGTCACCCAGGAAACCAACGCTCTTTCAAAGTAAATTGGCCAATGGCAAACACCGGCAATTGTGTCCGGACAAAAAGTCACATGACTGCCAAAACACCACTCCCTGTGCATCCAGAGAGAGGGGTGGAGAAAGAAGTTGGGGGTCTGTGGGTGATAAAGTGAGGAAAAACATAGAAGGAAATACAGAAAAGGAAGAAAAGTACAGCAGAAATTGAGTTTGGTTGCATGAACAGGTCACAAGGCCAGGCTCTGACAAATTTCAAAGCTGCCTTTTCACAGTAACTTTTTCCCAAACAGGTTGACTGCAGCTTAACTCTGTTTGCTAAGAGGAACAAGGTTGAGCAGCTCAATATGACACTAATAGTGCGGCTCTATATTCAGCTGGCTGACTCAAATATCACTTACTTCAATATTACAGACACAATGTACAAAAATATCCTCAAATATCCCTAAAGACCTTCCTTTTTAATAAAGCCTTTGGTTAGCTTCCTTTATGCTTTTTACTACCTTGCCTTTTGCATTGCAATTCTATATTCTTTATTTATTTATTTATTTATTCTTTTATGCTTGCTAGGCTAATCTGTGACTGACATTCTATTGCTTTTTTATTGTTGCTGCTCTTTTTTACTGTGTACTGTAGCACTTTGAGTTTTCTTGTAAATGTAAAGTGCATTACAAATTAAATTTATCATTATTATTATTATTACTATTATTATTATTATCCCAGTGTGTGGTCTATTAACAACTAACCATAATCATCCAGAGGTTTCCCTGGCCTCTGTCTGCATGTTTGCTTTTACAGGAGGGTTGTGGATCTATCTGGTGCACCAAAACCAGTTAACTTCCAAATATCACCTGGTTTGAGGGAAACTCTCATACAGCAAGATTAGTGATGGCAGACAGAGTGGTGATGACAGTCAAAGCTAGCAAAATGTCAGCGGATATATGACAGTATTACTGTGTTTATCATCTGCACTTGTGTCTCATACTAAGTAAGTATCAATACAAGCCATCATAATCTACACCATTGCTCCCAGATAGACAGCTTACAGTGAAAGCTTAAAGTGTAGACAGTTTATAAAGTTGTGAGCCCATCACAGAGACAACAAAATTTGTTTAAACCAAAGATTGTATATACTATGGACAACTTGGTTCCGCCTTCCTGTATACAGATCTGAAGCCAAAAAGCTCTCAGTAATTCCAGGTTTTTTTCTCCACTTCCTGAAACCAACATTGAGCAGTAGCGTTGTACGTCTTTAGCGGGAGAGTCGCCGAGAATCATTGTGATGACACTCAGCTCAAACAGCGTATCCCACGGGTGAGCTGCACAATCTTCGTACGCCCATAGGCTGCATCAAGTGTCAATCATAGAGAACTTGAAGCCCCTAATAACTTTGAGCACAAACCAGTCTTACAACTATATGTCAACATCACAACCGGGGGGGGGGGGGTTATATTCTGTGCAATAAATTATAAATTTCTTAAGTTTGTCCACAACTCTGTATGGATTGCTGGAGGTGGCGGGATCTATGACCTATACTGCAGCCTGTCACCAGAGGATGTTGTTCTCTGGGTGGCTTCACCCAGCGAGGAGGCAGTTGGCGTCCATTCCTCTATATACAGTCTATGGTTTAAACTCTGTTTTTGTGTATATGAGCCATTTAATTAACCCCAAATAAATCAAAGCAGGGGCCATATGGTTGAATTCTGCAAAACAGTTTTGTTTAAACAAACTCTGGAAAAACACATCAAATCTCACTCTTTTGAATTTTGAAAATTAGTTTGCTTTGATAAAATAGATGCTCTGTCAGTACTGGACCATGTGGTCTAACAAGCTTACAGCTGTGGCTGCCAGCCTTGGAGTAATAACAGTGGAAATGCTCCTGTCAGAAGCAGATGGTTCTTATTACAAATACTTATCAGAACATTATGCAGATACAGGTGAGGCAAAAACATTACAAACTGGGCTTTTCCTGTTTGATCCCAATGACAAACACAGACCAAGGCAGGAATAAGTCAGATTTGCAACTATTTCATGAAAACACAAGAGCGAGCTCACAAACTAAGTGTTCCCTCAGACTTGACCTTTTTTCAGGTGCCAAGCTGCACAGAGGTCACAGAAACCTCCCCAAGGCCAAGAGGACTTTATCTGGACTGTCTTTTTAGATTGTCTGTTTTCTTTTATTCCTACCTAATAAATTATCCACTATCAACACTATTATCTTCTTGCCACTTTTATGACACTGAGGTCAGTGTTGTCGAGGATAGTCCCTCTCAGAAAGCTGCAAAATGTCATAAATCAAAAAGAAACACAGGGAAGCAAGCTGTCAACCTGTTGGGCTTATTCTGTGTAAACACTTAAAATGATCATATGGGCTAGGAGGTTAATTGTGATAAGAATTAAATTACAGTTTTATTTTTTCATACGTCACAATCTGTACAACATACTACATCAATCTCAGTCCTTCAGCATTGATTTGGTCTGCATCAATAAAGACGGTGCACCCACATATTTATCAAACTGAGCACTCCATCTAACCACCATGTGACAATGCCCTGCTGGGATACTTGTTGTTATGCTACATTTTGAGCTTCGCCTTCCCTGTAATCTTAAGAAAACAAACCCCATCCTCCCAAAACAACACTGCACTAATGTGTCCTAAACACCTGCTTTCACACAACCCGCTGCACAGCAAAGCAAGTACAGCTACAATCTTTGGCAAAGGCAACGAAGCAGAAATCCTTTCCAGGTTGATTCATCTGGTTCAATATCAACAGAGGGCTGATGAGAGAGCAGAAAATGCTGTGGTACAGAGAATTATTTTCTCATCTTATCCCTTATTGATCGTCCTATGAGTCTTGGCCTACTCATTTTAAAGAAGCATTAGTTTGCAGGTTAGTTTTATCTCACAGAATAAATGGCAGACTGCTTTCCATCCGCAATGAATTCACTTGTTATATCCTGAGTACTGGAAAAGTGGAGAAAAGAGTGCTTATTTTTGCTCTTGTATGTCTAGACAAGCCTTATTTTCCTCCAGGTCTCAAAGCGACTTATTTTAGTTTACAGCGCTGTTAACACTTACTCTGCTGCACTGAACACAGCTTTCAAAATGAAAATCCCTCTGAATTTGCAGTGAATCCTGTTTTTACGATGTACCCTGGCATCTTGCCATGGCAGTAAACTAAATTATAGTGACGCTCTCCAGCATACACTCCCAACGGCTCAGGCAGAGACAATACAGTCTACAAATGTTGTGCAGCCGCTTTATCACTCACACTGAAATCACATATCTATCACTTTCTCAGCCATGTGCTGTACACTTGAACACAATCGCCTGCCTTGTAAACAGCGCCTCGGCATCAGTAAATTACCGTACTTCAGCTGTGGCAGGCAGGTCTCCTACTCAGGAAGAGCATTTACCGAGTGAAAAAGGGCCCAAATTACATCTCTACAGTGTGAATGTGACAGGGTAGCTGATGAGCCAAGGTAAAGAGAAGGTGACACAACTGACAGTATCCGCCGCATAGACCGCAATGACAAGTCTAAGCCTCAACCATTGATTTTTTTGAACAGGTAATTGGAGGGGACTACCTGAGGATTAACAATCCTGTATGAGCATGTCGATAGATAACAGGCACATTCTGGCCGTGGGCTCTTACTGCAGATTCTTGGGCTATTCCTGCGGGGGAACAGGCTACACTGGAGATCGGACCTAAAGATATATTGAACCAAAAGCAGTCAGCTACACAAGTTTGACAACAATGACTCACAGCGTTCAAAAATGCTTAGTTTTGCTCAGCAAACTCAAAATGTCAATCCAAGCTGCCTCAGACTTGAATATACTTCACTGAAGGAGAGGATCAAAACAGAAACTCTGGGGCTACATTTACGCTTACATGATGCTGCATCAATATGTGATTCAATACTTGGAAACATATTACAAGACAACTGATTTCCCAATGCCAGTGTTCACATCAGACAACGATGAATCCATTCATAGCTGGCAGCCACCATGAATTTTAAAGGCTGAGGAAAAATGCAAGTATCCTATTCAAACTAGTTTGACCTATAGAAGATGATAAATATCCCAGAGCTCTTCAAAGTCAATACATTAGCATAAGGGGTGAGAAGAGAGAACAAGAGGGGGATGTTGCAATGATTTAATGTCTGTGTGATGAAGGCTGGATCTGTGTGTGTGTGTGTGACTCTCAGTTGGTAGACAGGCCTTTTTGTTTTCTAGCATTGAGCAGCTGGACAGATGAGTCACCACAAAGGGGTTTTATGGTGTGGAGGAGACAAAGAGATCAACTTTTGGTTTGACTATTCATTTAACTTCAACATTATTTATGTCCAACAAGCTGAGTTGTTATTGTGGGGGACAGGCAAAAAGAAAATAGCACTGTGTTGAAATCTGGAGAATAAAGGGTGTTTTGCTATTTGTTTGTTCGTGGGCTCTACTACATATCCAAAGATTTCATTTCACCAGGAGTTTTGCAATAATGAGCGATCACTACAAGTGGGCACAAGAACAAATGATTAATAGACTGAAAAGTTTTTCAGTTATTGTTTCATAACCTAAGCTGACAGAAAAGGCCAACTTATTACAGTGCTTTTAAAGGCATAAATACATGAAGTTTTTACCTTATGGTCAGTCAGTGCCGTGGGAAAGGTGAAGAAAAGGGAAGACCGCATAATAAAATAAAAAAGGATGAGGAAGTTAGAGTGAAGAAGTACAACCGATGAGAAGTGGATAAAGAGCAAATGACAAAAAGACAATAGACCAGCGAAAAGGAACAAGGAAACAAGAGTCAATTACTACATATCGGTGAAAGAAGATACATGCATAATTCAATGTTTAACCTGAGGCTTATGCAAGTGCATTCTGAACCAATGTGTAAATTCAAGTAGCTGCATCCCCAAATGGCTGCTGTCAATCATGACATCTGTTTACAGAAAAATAGCGATAAGAGAGAGGAGAA